TAACAAATATAACAACAAACATATCTTTTTTGTAAAATATAGTCTTAAATACGATGTATTATTTTTAATTTATGTATGAAAGACACACAACTTTTTTTCCTATAAATAAAATTATGTGAAATTTAATGCAAAATATTCCAAAATAAAAACTACGTACGTACTGTTTCATTATTTATAGTACGTACTACGTACTATAAATATAGTACGTACTACGTACTATAAATAATGAAACAAATCATATTCTGTCAAGGTTAGCCTGATTTTAATTAAATGAAGTGATATTTTTCAAAAATTTTTAAAATAATGTTTTTTTTTCTTTTATTTTCAACTTGTGGAAATGGAATAAAATATTTCGATTTTTACTTCTCAAGCTTAAGCTAAGAAAGTATTGTAATATGGTCCATCGGGTGAATGGCTACTGTCATGTTTTATTGACATTCCATGACTCCAAGAGTCCGAACAGGTCTTCTGTTTCCGTCTGTATGTCTGCCGTCTGTCTAAATTTATATTACACGGATAATCTCCGAAACTACCGGAACGATTGTTGTCAAATTTTACATGCATGTAAGAAAAATCATGTAGATGAAAAAATGCTAACCAAAATTTGTGTGGTCATTCCCAGCAACATTGTAATGACATCTCTAAAATTTTCTTGATCCAAGACCATTTAAATTTGGTAAAATAACATACTTCTGTACTTGTAGTTTATGAATCCACCTCGATTTTGTTTTTTATTACATATCATTATTATTTTTATCATTTAAACCTTCTTATTCTTTAGTTCTTTACTGCGTAGCTACGTAAGCTTAATTAAACGACTTGTATATTTTTTGTGATCAAATCAAGAACAAAGCCAAATTTTTTGGACATTTTGAGAATACAATACTGAATTGACATACGTGTCTTTGCCAAAATGTTCCTCGGAACATTTTCCAGTGGGAAAACTCACTAGAAGTATGGGCTAAACCTTTATACGTGCTTAATCGCCGAACTCTTTTAATGTAGTATAAACATAAACAGCCGAAGGTAAGCATGTATTGATGACATATGTTTTCCTGGTGGTTATTTGCTTTAAATAGATTTCATTTAAACTTTCAACTACTTCGTTAGGCAAACGGTTGCGGAAAGCAAAAATAGGTCTCACGTTTCCGTCTGTCTGTCCTCTCTCTTTTGTGATGATTTTGTTAGACAGATAATCTTCCAAAGGTAAAATGTTAAACGGCTAATCATCCTCACCAACAATTTGAGGACGTCACCTATAAATTTTGCATAGTAAATGCTATTTAAGTTTTATAAAATTCTCCTAGCATATTCCTAAATTTGTACTCTATGAATCCGCCTCGATTATTTTAACTTACAGTGGTTACGATGAAAAAATAAAATTCGCAATCAAATTTTATAATTTTTTGAAGAACCGGTATTAGTTAGTACGTATTTCAGGTACCAGGGAAGATAAATATAATATTAAAGTTTATCACGGAATATACAGAATTAAAACTAATAACTTTTGATTTTCTTGCCGTTTTTAGAGTTTTAATTCCAAATGATTGAAAAATTTAAAGAGTTAAATAATCGTATTTAAAAAAACATTGATGTGTTTTTTTTTTAATTCGATTTTTTCGATCCCACAAAATAAATATCGGCAAGTCAAACATACAAGATAATTTAACTTTTCCATTTGTGGCATATTTATTCGATAAATGTCGGCACTTATAGGTATTGAACAAATATCTGCCATAAATAAATAATACAAAATGTTTCAGCGTTTCCATTTCAAAATTATAGTTCTTATTAGTTTTGGGAGTTAAAAACTATAAAACAGTGTTGTCATATTTTACTTCACGAACGCCACTGTTCGCAGATTTGGCGTACGAGCGCCATCTGTTCGGTCGTGCCATTTTCAGGCCATGTTAAATAATAATGATCACGATTTGTTGTGCTGACCCACGGTTTACAAACATTGCGACGAAGTTGGTCAAAATTTTCTTTAGTAAATACGACAAATTACACATTATCGAGCTCGTTATTATTTAGTGTGCCGATATCGTACAAATAAACTATACAAATGTTAATAAACGATAAGCGATGTTTTGAAAACATTTCTTTCCCTTGTCCTTAGACATCAGATTTTTTATCGTCAACCACAAAGAATAATCTATTCGCTGTATCGATTTCTCTTATCTTTACGAATTTATGCAACCCGATACCCCCATCACTCAACCTACATTTGAAAAATTGATATTTGGATGCGATGATCCCTAATGGAGTGGCGCTTGTTTATTTACCTGCCTTCGTAATTTAATTCCTCTTCTTTGTGTTTTCCACAGATTAAATGTATGACACATGATAACGTGTGCCGGTAATTCCCTGTGTAGCACATTTTATAAAAATAAAGGAAGATTTTCATTCTGCTAACGCTATAATGTTGTTTCTATGTTGGGGTGGATTACTCCAAAGGGATTATGGGAGATTTCCCAAAGGCCTTTTACATAAGGGAGTGCATGTGGCTTACTACATAAATGTATGCATAATTTGTGTGGATTCGCAGTGCTTTTTACCTTTGAGCTTTCAAGCCATAATCAAATGATGTGTTATCTAAATTAAGTACAATTCTCGTGCTTTTTTAATAACCTGCCATGCCTCGAGTGGTTTTATCTGAAGATTAAAATTATATTGTACGGTTTCCAAATAAATGTCAGCCGACTGATATATTTATACTTATTATATAATCTTTGTTTAATTTTAATTTATTTTTTCATTTCGCTGCTGTTTACTCGCTTTCAACGCAGTGTAAATATTTTGTCACAGAAAATACAGACCTTACTGCTATAATCAATCAGCCGTTGAAAATTCTCTCATCGGTGACTTTTTTTCGAATCGATAATGGCCTCGGGTCTCCCATCCAAATTAATTTTTAATGATGTCATGCTTAATATAGGAGGTAAATGACCGTGCAGTGTCCGAAGGGTAATTAAAAAGTGGCGTTACATTAAATAAGCATTGAATGAGTAGAGGCTTTGTTTTAAAATTTAATTATTTTTTTAATTAAGACTTTGTAATCGAAAATATTGTGAACACAATGTTGAATTTTTATAGCGAGGATAGTGAAAATTTAATTTTTTTACTATAGTCCGTATACATAAATAAAGAGTAAGTCGCATTGCTTAAACATAAGCTTTTGAACAAAAATTTGTTTGGTAATGTTTTTTAGATGACATCATAATTTTTTTGTGAAGATTAACCAATAAATTTTAATTAATGTTGTTTGCCAAAATTTCCTGTATCATCTCTGAAATAAACAATAAAAGTAGATAAAACAAAACCTAATATTTTGACGTTTTGACATAACATGTGGTGCACGTTTAAAGTGAAATTTGCTTAACAATATTTTGAAATGACGATTTTTTGGAGGTCATGAATATATAAACCTTGGGAAACATTTTACTAATTATACGGTAATCTCAATGTTTCAGAGATTGTCTGTGTAAACTATTATTATTAATTATTTTCATGATTTAATGTTCAAATTATTTACACTCGTAACAAGAGAGCAACATTTAAAAACGAAAGTGCATTAAAAGGGAAAATAAAGCGCTGAAATGGCGAAATAAAATAAACTCAGACGTAGAGTGAAAAGCGTGGTATAACACATTTACACTAATTAACCTAATTAAGTTCATTTTTACTAAATTAGCGACTTTATTAAAAAATGTTTGAATTGATTAATTTTTTATAACTTGAGTAAAACTTCGCCTGTCTGTCTAAACCAAAATTACTTGAATCGGTAATAAATTTTCGAAGAACGCCAATCAGTAAATATCTACGAATGTTTATTTTAATTAATTCGATTTTTCAAACAACATAATAAAAATTGGGCCAATAACAAAGCATAACGGCAGCGAAAGCCACAAGCAAATATCTCCGTCCGAACAAAAAGAAACTTCGATTAAATGAGGCAGACAGAACAAACAATTTCGACCTTGTTGTCTGAAGTGTCAATTTTTTCTTACAAACTTATAACCCCCCTAGAAGCTCCTTCAGAATCCTGCAAATGACGTTGTAAACAAGCAAATATTTTCAGGCTAAAATAATGTCTCCCCTTCACCCAACACACGAAATAGTTTAAGCTAATGAAACACTTCACGACCCTGAAAACAACCATTTGCAAACAAGCTTGCTAATTTAATACCGGAAAAAACCGAGCCGGTTAATTATCCAGCTGGGATAAAGATGCTTTCAAATTTTCCTAAACGACGGGATCATTAAGACAATCGCAAGATTATGAAGATTACCGTAATAATTGTTACAATAATTAATGCCCCGATTTTTTCAGGAACTTTCTCCAACCTCCTTTCTCCTGGTTTTTCTCTCTTCCGTATCGATTACGTGTTTTTCACGTGCGGAGGGAGATAAGGCCATGTTCCACTAACTTGACGAAAAGTTACACTTTCGCTTAGTAGATTAGTGTTTCAAAATTGTACATGCGCAATTATCCAATTAAAAACGCATTATCGCACTAAAAGAGGCTAGGAATTCGGACTGGTTAAAGAACGCGGCGTGAAATCTCGTTAACATTGTCATCGCTGCTGTTAACAGCGGCGCAAACAGCAGAGTTTAGCCTAAAAAAAGCCAAAATAGACCCCAAAGTAGGTGATAAAAATCTTGTCAGAACAGGTTCTGGAGGCAGTGAACAATCCGCCAAGGCTTTAAGAAAAATTCATTCGCGCTTCTAGCAGCCATAACACGTTTGTTTATCCCCAATTATTTTATTCGCAGCGCTTGAATGGTCGCTTTTGGTGCGTCCGACGATGGGCCAAAATATTTTTTACCGCTGCTATTTCTGGCGGAATGTGATAGAGCGACGATTACGTAAAACGTTAAATTCACGTGTTTTACGCGGCCTTGCGCTTCCTCCAATCTATGTTTTGTTTGTGCTTATGTAGGTTAACATTTTTAAATCCGCTTATCGAGTTTCCACTAATTCGCCATTTTTTTTCCAGATGCATAGCGCGAGTTTTGACACAGAAATCAGCCGGAGGGATGGTGGCGATGTGCTTGTGGCAATCGCGGCCCTTGTGACGGAAGGGCGTATTCCGGGAAAGCTGAGCAGCAAGACGAAGGGCTTCTACGAAGGGCCTCATTGTCCTTTGAATAAAGCGGCGAAGGAGCATAAGTGCGACCTGACGGATCTGCTGGTGAGGATTTATGGATTTTTCCTGCGAGATAAACGTTGAAATGTACAAGAGATGTTCGTCACGGCTGCTTCAAGCGCTTATTTTTTACTTTGGGGGGCTCTAAGTGAGGATAATTGGGATTTATTTTCTTTGTGTTCAGCTACTTTCGGCCAAAAATGGTTTTTTAAAAATGATTTTTATTTCCCGAGCTCCAAGTATGAAAATTAGACAGATGATCTCTGAAACTGTTCCCGCTGACGTTGCATTTAGAGCTGAAAAATGTCATTTATAAACTCCGTTGGGAATAGTTGACAGTAACTTTTGCCGTATTTAAAGGAAGAAGAAAAGTGGACGATATAAGTTGATTATGTACTGCAAAAAATCACCATTTTAGATGTTTTAAGTTTCTTGTTGTCGAAATAAGTCTACACATATTAAGAAAAAAGAGGCAACATGTAGCCCCGCCCACCCACCCTAGCTCAATTGTGATGATTTTTTTTATTCGTCGTGAGCCAAGGGGGCGGAGCTTAACTGTAAAATCCTTATTTCTCTACGAGAAATTTTGCAGTTAAACTCCGCCTCTTTGGCTCACGGCGAACAAAAAAAATCATCACAATTGAGATCGGGCGGGTTGGCGGGCTTAGATTTTGCCTTTTTGTTTTAATATGTGTAGACTTCTTTTCACAACGTGACACTTAAAACATGTTTAAAATGGAAAATTTGTATAAGGAAATATCGATTTTGCAATTAGTCTCCACCCCATAATTGCAAAATCCATATTTCCTTCCAAAAATGTACCATTATGTTTTAAATGTCTTGGTGTGAAAAGATGGCTGTCTATATTAAGAAAAAAAAGCCAAATATAAGCCCCGCCCACCCGCCCTATTTCAATTCTGATATATGTATTTTTTTTCAATCAGCGAGAGCCAAAGGAGCAAAATCCTTATTATTTCTCTAGGAGAAATTACCACCTATATCTGCCCAGATCTAAATAGTAATAAATAATAACTAAATAAATAAATAAATAATTTAATTGCCCAACAGAAACGTGCAATAATAGGGCAATATTAATTAAACGTAATAAAAAACTAATAAGAAAAACAAAATATACCATAAAATGAAATAAAAATAAAACTTTAAACTGTAAACCCTAGCACATAAGTGAGTGTTATAGTAAGGAAGTTTTCATTCGTTGGCAGACCGAGGGGTGGAGCCAAATCGCAAAATCCATATTTTCTTACAAAAATGTACCATCTTAAACGTGTTTTAAGTTTCTATGAATCAAAAAAACAACACAATTAGGATGCGGTGGGTGGGTTTATATTTTGCTTGTTTTTCTTAATATACATAGTATTCTTTGAACAACACGATAATCAAAAACATGTTTTTAATTTCTGGTAAAGAAATAAGTATTTTGCAGTTAAGCTCCGCCCCCTTGGTTCACGGCGAATAAAAAACATCACAATTGAGATAAGGCGGGTGGGAGGGGCTAGATTTTGCATTTTTGTTTTAATATGTGTTGACTTCTTTCCACAACATGAAACTTAAAACATGTTTAAAATGGAAAAGTTGTATAAGTAAATTATTGGGCGGAGCCTAATTGCATACTTCCTTGCAAAATTGTACTATTTTAACTATGTTTTCAATTTCGTGTTGTGATAAGATTGCTATGTATCTTCAGAAAAAAAAACACAAAATATAAGCCCCGCCCACCCACCCTATCTCAATTGTGATGATTTTTTTATTCGTCGTGAGCCAAGGGGGCGGAGCTTAACTGCAAAATCCTTATTTCTCTACGAGAGATTTTGCAGTTAAACTCCGCCTCTTTGGTTCACGGCGAATAAAAAAATCATCACAATTGAGATCGGGCGGGTGGGCGGGCTTAGATTTTGCCTTTTTGTGTTAATATGTGTAGACTTCTTTTCACAACATGAAACTTAAAACATGTTTAAATTGGAAAATTTGTATAAGGAAATATCGATTTTGCAATTAGGCTCCGCCCCATAATTCCAAATTCCTTACTTCCTTGCAAAAATAAACCATTATGTTTTAAATTTCTTGATTTGAAAAACTGGCTATCTATATTAAGAAAAAAAAAACAGCAAAATATAAGCCCCGCCCACCCGCCCTATTTCAATTCTGGTCGTTTTTGTTTCAGTCATCAAGAGCCAAAGGAACAGAATTTAATTGCAAATCCCTTATTTTTTCTCTATAAGCAATTACCGCCCATACATGCCCAAATCTAAATAGTAATGAAGTTGTCATTCGGTGGCAGAACGAGAGGCGGAGCCTAATCGCAAAATACATATTTCTTAACAAAAATTTACCATTTAAACGTGTTTTAAGTTTCTAGGAATAAAAAAAAATCATCACAATTAGGTTGCGGTGGGTGGGTGGGGTTTATATTTTTCCATTTTTTCTTAATATACATAGTATTCTTTGAACAACACGATACTCAAAAACATGATTTTAATTTCTTGTAAAGAAGTAAATATTTTGCAGTTAAGCTCCGCCCCCTTGGTTCACTGCGAATAAAAAAAATCATCACAATTGAGGTAGGGCGGGTGGGCAGGCTTAGATTTTGCGTTGTTGTTTTAATATGTGTAGACTTCTTTTCACAACACGAAACTTAAAATATGTTTAAAATGGAAAATTTGTATAAAGAAACATCGATTTTGCAATTCGGTTCCGCCCAATAATTGCAAAATCCAACCTTCCTTGCAAAAATGTACTATTTTAACTATGTTTTGAATTGTTGTGATAAGATTGCTATGTATATTAAGAAAAAAAAAACAAAATATAAGCCCCGCCCACTCGCCCTATCTAAATTCTGATGAATTTTTCTATTCGTTGTAAGCCGAGGGGACGGAGATTAATTCTAAAATCTTAATTTTTCTACGAGAAATTACCATGTGAAATATGTTCTTAAGCAATCGTGTTATAGAAAGAAAACTAAATGTATTATTTCCGTCTCGATCTCAATCGTGATGAATTTTTCATTCGTTGTCAGACCGAGGGGCGGAGCGTAACTGCAGAATCAATATTTCCCTATACAAATGTACCATTTTAAACATGTTTTAAGTTTCTTGTTGTGAAAAGATGACTACACATGTTGAGAAAAACAAGGAAAAATTTAGCCCCACCCACCCGCCCTGTCTCAATTATGATGATTTTTTTATTCGGCGTGAGCCAAGGGGCCGGAGCTTAATTACAAAATCCTTATTTCTCTACAAGAAATAAAAACATGTTTTTGAGTATCATGTTGTTCAAACAATACTATGTATATTAAGAAAAAAACAAGCCAAAAATTAAGCCCCACCCATATCCATTCTAAGCCCAATTGTGATGAATTTTTGATTCGATACTTTTTTACAAAAATTTACCATCTTAAACATGTTTACCTTTCTTGTTGTGAAAAGAAGAATTAGTTCTGTCAACCAGAAAAATGTCCCCCCTACTTCACGGGATTTTCCTTCAAGTTGGCAGCACTGCACACTGGCGCAATTTGATTGGTTGAAAACCCAACGTCAACGGAAACGTAACAGCGAACAGCAACGTTAGCGGTAATTAAATTGTAGGCCACATTGTTGATTTTACATTTTCCACTATTGACATCTCATAAATAGAAAGAGATAGAACTCTGATTAAATCAGATTAATCTGCGGTGTTCTGAAGCGACGCTATGACGTCATGAAAATTTCATCCTCGGAACGAAATCATTTTCTCTTTTAATTATTCAGCACTTGTTTTAGGATAGTTCCATTAACAAAATTAATTTCCATATAATTGCTTATTGTAGTTTTTTGAGGCAATGTATCAAATTTATTACGTACACCTTGACATAACTAGCGTGACGAGTTCGAGTTAAGAGAAAAAAAATGTTTACAAAAAATAAGTTCCGACCACCAATCATTCCCCAATTGATCCCCTTTTTATTTTTATTTTGAAATGTTTTGAACATCTGCTCCGCCGATAATTAATTTGTAATATCTATCACCAAATTTTTCTCTCTCATCTTTATAGTGTTTACGTAGCCGTTTCTCAATAAATAAACTCCAAACTATTTACTAATTGACCCAGATCATATTTTAAGCGTCCCTTAAAATATATATAATTATGCCACATTTTTAAAAACACGAGCAGTTTTACTGGTAATAAAAGCTATTACGTCGAACACACTTTTGTTTTACTCATTTACATTTAAAATGAGTGTTTTTTTAGTAGTCGACATTCATATTCTTTTTCCTTTTCTCGATGTCAGGTTCAAGTAACAAGGCTATAAATACGATCTGTGTACCATACGACGAAAACCAACGTAAAATAATTTATTGTATAGTAACAGCTAACTATAATTAACACTCTCTTGCACTACATAAATAAAGCTCTATGACGTTAAAATTCCTATTAGCACTGCAAGTTATGATTTTCTAAGTATAGACCGTGGTTCAATGAAGCTCGACGACCAGAAATACGTGCAGAAAAAATACACACTCCGGGTTTAAATTAAGAACCGAAACGTTAATATTATTTTTTGGTGTGTGGCGCGGTTTTATTTGAGTTTTACGTTCTTTTAAAAGTAGAATGGCTGTAACTACGTATTTACGTTTTCATGCGTGTATATCGGGTTGTATAACACGTGGACGTAATTAATGTATGATTGTGATATTGATTCCCTCTTACGACTTTTGCTTTCTGCTGAGACCGTTATCTGTTTCTATCTTAATTGAATCTGTCATGGGGCTATGAAGTTTCAAGGATATTCTATTAAAAGCGAACGTGTTTGTTTGGCTTCCACCGAAATTGTTTTATCAAAGAGATATTACGAGTAGCACATTACAATCAATGAAAAAAGTGAGTGTGAACATCTGGTGTAAATAGCTGTAGTTTTCCTATATTTAGGGGAATATTTCTAATTTGAGCAAGTTAATATGATTGTGTCATGTCGTTACGGTTATATTAGAAATTCCCCCTACATGTTGTTGTCAGTCTCCAGTTCTTATCTGATTTGATAACAATTTATAAAAAGAATCAAAATTACCATATACGATTCAAAAAGAAAGCAAATTCATAAACATAGTTGTTTAACTAGACTAAATACATGACATTTGACGGGTATTGTGTGTTGCATACATACATTTTATAACTACAAGACGGGAAAAAACGACCATATAGAACAATTTGAACTTGAAGTGAACATAAGAAAGCTATTTTAATCGTAGTTATTAAATTAAAAACAATTTTTGTTCCTCGATATACATCAGCCTGATCAGAACAACATTTCTTAACAGTATTTGACATAAAAAGTTCATTTATCATCATAATTTCGCCTACTTCGTGTTCTAAGCTCCGTATTTTATCACTTTATATTCAGTTTTAAATATGCGGGTCTGAACATGATGAATGTTTCATCTGGAATTTTGAATTCTGGTGTTACCTTTGTGTATTGATTAGCATCTCAGCTCCCAAATCCCATAGGTTAGAGTCGTTTATCTCATTAAACTGGGACTAGAGAAGGCTTTGGATGATTTACTGAACCTCTAATGGTACCCTTTTCCCTCTCCAAAGACCCTCCGAATCGAACTAAATTCAAAACAGAGAATAACATTTGGAAACTGTATAATTCTTACGTGACCTATGTAAATTTCTATCTATTTACTGCTCAGATACCCACAGTGAATGTAAATATAATAATTATGTAATATTTAAGCAACAACACAATGAATTATAAACTTCTTCCCTTCACCTTCATGGTCACTGCACAACGAAGCTATTGCCAAATCCGGTAGATACGATCCAAGTTCTCATCCTCCTGAAACTCCGCTGAAATAAATTTTGAAAACTAACACGGATATGCTGTCGAGAACATAAATAATTCTCATTCTGGCTGAACGGTATCATGCATTTTATTGCACCAATACGTTTTATCAGAACCCTATAAAACACCAGTGTGGTGTTGGCCAAAATTATTGGCTCTAAATTTTTAAGAGCATAATTAAACATCGAAAATGACACAGTATTGTTCTAGATAAACTTTTGTTCGCTTTTGTTCGATGAGTTTACATAGTAGGAAAGTGATTTAAACTTTTTCTCTTTTCGGGGTAACACATGTTTGACTTTATACTGGTGTCATTAAAGCGTAACTAGTAGTAACTCATTTTATGACTCGTTACAGAGTTAAATTTTCCTCCCCTTGCGAGATTTCTCCCACACATTTTTATTAGGCTAACGCCCACGAACTTTCGTAATTAAACTTGATGATAATCCCCTGTTTGTTCCAGTGTTCAACTTACGAAAATGTCCGTGGCGAAGTTTTAAATTTATGGAAGAAAAACATTCCTGTCTGTCTAGAAGTACTCCTGACTTGTTCATGCAAAAATGACGTGACCACGAAAACATCCGAAACCTGTGACGACGACTTCCTTTTGGAAAAATGGTATTTTAGCATCAATCATCGAAGGTAATTGCGAAAAGGCGTGTTGTATGACGGTTCCGTGCTTGTTGCCGATTTGAGTAAAAAATTACGAATTTTAATTCTTACTATAAAACTGTCATGGAAAAACTAATATTAGACCACCCAAGCAACAAATGGTTTTCAACTGTTCGTGAATTTTAATACCTCCACAAAGAACTTATGGATAATTACAGGGTTTCAATGAATAATGATAGTTCAGTACGGAAACATGCGAAGGCAAAGGGGTTTACTACCTGCTTAGTATTTTTTAATCAAAAATGTTCGTTTTTAATTTAATTTTTGTTAAAATCTAAATTACTGTGTTAATTTTAAAATAGTTTCTATTACTGGACTCCACAATGTCTGTTAAGGAACAAAAAATTCTTTAAAATAATATATGAATTAAGTAATTGTAAGATCAAACTTCCGCTACAAATTATACTGTGTACAATTTGCCGCTCACCTCTCCTAATAAGACTAACTGATCAACATCATGAAATGTCGGTGAGTCTAGTTGTAATTCCTTTTTCGACAAAGCGGCACCAGTCAAAGCAAAGCGGCACAAGTCAAAGCACACTTCACTAAGGTAATTTGTTGGATAATTTGTCGGTCATTTACGGTAGATTCTCTATACTGGTTGCGAAACGTATCGCTGTATAAAGTGAATGTTTTCTATAAATTTGATTTACAGTGTCATTGTCCACATATTCTCTGACATTTTGTCGCATAAATTTACGTTATTGACAGACCGTTAAGCTCGGAATGCACTGATCGGAACCGATCGCCCCAGATCGGCGCTGTCGAATGTGTTTTTGGTCATAAACGAAGAGTAATGAATGCAATTACATGCAGAATAACGTCATTAAGCATACATTGTAAATTTGAACTTTATAGTCACTGGTAATGTAAAAAAAACGTGACCCCTTTAGAGGACATTAGTTTGGGTTCACGTGAATGGAATTAGTTAGTTGGATGAAAAATGGAATGGAACATTATGCATAATTTTACCATTTGTTGGCGGAAAATTATTTCGTCTTCAAAGGCAATGGAAGAATCTCATCTTGACGTTCTAGTTCAGTCTTGGTCTAGCGGGCCTTGAACCCTTAAAAAAAAGTATTGCTGGTAAAAGTACTGGTGGTGGTAATTTTAAATTAATGGACATTAACGCATAGTTTAAGTTGAATACAAGAAGATGACAACTTAACTACCGAAACATGTTTGGTTTAATGTCAGTCCAGCCACTGATCGTTCTGAAGATTCCTGCATTAATTTTTATACTTAATACTAAAGGACATATTTGATAAACGGCTGAATTTACGTTTTTTCTACGTTTCACAACTTCTAGAATGCGAAAAAGTAGCTCCACCATTTTTGTCAGTCCGTCGTCTGTTGACGATGTTAGCCCGAAACTATTGGTCTAATTGTGAAATTTAAGATGTATCTATACGTAAAGGAGGTAAAATGATAATCAAAATTTGTCTGATCATCCCGACCAAAAAGTTTATGACATTATAAAATTTTGCAAAGTAAATATGATTTAAATGTAGAAAATAATAAGTTTCTATACCTATGATTTGTTAATACATACCTAATTTTAACCTTATACATGTAGGTATTACAAAAAAGTCAAAAATGTACAACAAAAATTTTAATTTAACTTAGGACCCACAAAATTGATTACTATAGACGAATATAGCCGGATATGGATGGATATGGAAGAATATAGACCGATATAGAAGGATATAAAAGATATTAATGGGTATAGACGGATATAGAAGAAAATAGCAGGATATGGATAGAAATAAAAGAATATAGATATAGATATAGAAGTATACAAAATATATAAATGGGTATAGAACGATATCGAAGGATATAGATGGATTCAGAATTATATAGAATATATAGAAGGATATAAAGAAAAATAGAAGGGCATTGACGGATATACAAGGATATAAACCGATATAGAAGCACAGATTCGTGATCCTGAAAATATTTACCATAAGATAAACGTGTCTCTGGACCGATATAGAAGGTTATAGAAGGAATTAGAGAAAATAGGTGGATATAGAATAATATAGACGGATATAGATGAATGCGGAAGGATTATAGACTGATATAAAAAGATATGTTCATGATCCTCGGAAAATTTTCGATAAGATAGACGTCTCGTCACAGTGATTAGATTAGTTGTAAAATCCCATTAAAAAAAGTGGGGATTTTCTCAGTTATTACTGTCCTTACAGTAAAAATAAGGATAGATTCATGATCCTGAGAAAATTTCCGAACCAATATGTAAGGATATACAAGAATATAGAAAGTATAGCAAGATATAGAAAGATGTAGTCAGATGTAGAAGAATAGATAGAAATAGAGGCATATAGAAGTATACAGACGGATATAGGAGGATATAGACCAATGTAGAAGATATAAACGGATATGGAATGATATAGAAGGATATTGATGAATATGGAAGGATATAGAAAGATATGGAGGCATACAGACGATGATAGAAGCACAGAGTCGTGTTGCTGAGAATATTTACGGTAATAAACGGATATAGAATGATATTGAATGATAAAGATGGATATAAGTAGAACAATATAAAAGGATTTAAAAAGAAATAAAAGAACATAGATGGATATAGAAATATGTAGACACAGATATAGAAGAATACATAAGGATGTAGACAGATGTAGAAAGATATAGACGGATATAGAAGGATCTAGAACTACAGATTTGTAATCACAAGAAAATTTCCACTAAGACAGACTTCTCTCCCGACCGATTTGAGTAGTCTTAAAATTTCTCCAACAAAGGGTATATTCGTTATTACTGCCCGCAGAGCAAAAATAAATATAGGTTCGTGATCCTGAGAAAATTTCCGATAAGATAGACATTTCTCCGGATGAATATAGAATCATATAGAAAAATAAAAACGGATATAGAACAATCAGAAGGAAAATTTATAGACTGATAATAAAGTGATGCTGAGAAAACTTCCGACAAGATAGACATCTCTCCGAAACGATATAGAAGGTTGTACAAGAATATAGATCGGTATAGTATGACATAGAAGGATGTAGTCAGATATAGAAGAACGTAGAAGGGAATAGAGGGATATAGAAGCATATAGACGTATGTAGAAGGATATAGACAGATATAGAATGAAATAGATGGATATAGGACATAAGGGCTAATTCTTCTGAATCAAACCTGTTAAAATTTAAAGGTTGTTAAGAAATAAACAGCCTATCAGATTTACGAATTTAAATCGTTACTATGGAAATTTGCAATTTAACACCCTTTAACTTAGACGGATATGGAATGATGTAGAAGGATATGGATGGATATAGAAAGGAATATAGGGATATAAACAGATATAGGCGGATTTGGAAGAATATAGAACAGATGTGGACGGATATATGAGGATATAGACAAATGTAGAAGGGAATAGATAGATGGATGCAGAAGGTGTAGAAGAATGTAGAAAGATACTGACTGATATAGCAGGGTGTAGATGGATATGGAAGGATATAGAAGGATACAGGCGATCATAGAAGCACAGATTCGTGATGCTGAGAGTATTTACGATTATAGACGTCTCTTCGGACCGATATAGAAGGATATGAAAGGATAAAGACGGATATAGAAAGAAATAGAAGAAAATAGACGGATATAGAAGAATATAGAAGTACAGATTTGTAATCCTAGGAAAATTTCCAATAAAAGACGTCTCGTCGAACCAATTGGATAGTTTTAAAATCCCTTCAACAAAGGGGATTTTTCTTCGTTATTACTGCCCGCAGAGCAAAAATAAACGCAAGTTCGTGATCCTGAGAAAATGTCCGATAAGATAGACATCTCTCCGAACCGATGTAGAAGGATATACAAGAATATAGATCAGTATAGCATGACATAGAAGAATGTAGTCAGATATGGAAGAATACAAAAGAAAATAGAGGGATGTAGAAGCATATAGAAGGATATAATAATCGGATATAGAATGAAATAGATGAATATAGGAGGACATAGAGCCATATGGAATGATCTAGAAGGATATAGTCGAATATGGAAGGATATAGATGGATATAGAAGGATATAGATGGATATAGAAGGGTATAGCCAAATGTAGAAAAGTATAGATAGATGGATGCAGAAGGTATAGAATGATGTAGAAAGATATAAACTGATATCGCAGGGTATAGATAGATGTGGAAGGATATAGAATGATATAGACCGTTAGAGAAGGGTACAGACGATTATAGAAGATATATTATATATTTGCGATAATAGACGTCTCTCCGGACCGGTATAAAAGGATATGGAAGGATAAAGCCGGATATAAAATGATGTTTTTATGTTTTTATTTCCATATCTTTTTGGATACAGAATGCAATGGAAGAAAATAGACGGATATAGAAATATATAGACAGACAGAAAAATATAGAAGAATGTAAACAGGTGTAGAAAGATGTAGACGTTTATAGAAGGATATAGAAGAATAGATTTATAATCCTAAGAAAATTTCCAATAAAACAGACGTCTCCCCGGACCGATTTGAGTGTCCACAGAGCAAATATACAAAATCCTGAGAAAATTTCCGATAGGATAGACGTTTCTCCGGATGGATATAGAAGGATATAGAAAAATAAAAACGGATATAGAACGATTGGAAGGACATAAAAAGATATAAACGGATAATAGAGTGATTCTGAGAAAATTTCCGATAAGACAGGCTTCTCTCCGGACCGATTTAAGTAGTTTTAAAATTCCTTGAACAAAGGGAGTTTTTCTTCGTTATTACTGCCCGCAGAACAAAAATTAGCCCAGATTCGTGATGCTGAGATTAAACCATTAAATTTTGTTTAGTCATCCTTTAGAAAGTTATTGAATTCATCACATTTTTTTAAACAATTGTTTGTTAAAAATATGCTTCTGGGTGCAAAGTTATTTCCACTTTATTATTACGTTTTAGATTTGTTTACGCAGGATGTTTAAGAATAATAATGAAAGAATGAATTTGTTTTATTGAATGTTCCGATTTTAGTATTTTTTATTTTAATATAATATAAAAAATACCGTGTGATCAGAAATGGTTTGTGTCTGTTGGCAATCCTGGATTATTAGTTGACATTATTGGTATCATGATGTTTTCTATAATTTCCGGTTGTCAGTTGTCAAAATTGACAGATTGTTCACATTTTTAAATTGCAAAATGTAGCCAAAACATAACCTAAATTTATCGCATGTCACGATTGACGTATCTGTCACAATTATTTCCGTTTTACCAACATAAACGCAACAGAAATTTCACATTTTTATTTAAAAAGTACAGCCAACAGACTCAGTCATTTTTGAACACGCGGAAAATTTGTAAAATCAACTTTTATAATTTATAGCAAAATTTCAGTGCTAAAGCTGAAAATCTAGTTTTTTTTTAATTATTCAAGTATTCCAGTAAAAATGATAAGATCTATAATCCAACAAGTCAGATGGTAATAAATCCCCGACAAAACATCATACTAAACACCGACTGTACAAAAAATGTGCTGCAGATGTTTATCGCAGAACTAACGTCGACAGTCCAGGGGCACTAGCCTACACTACTCCATTAAAACCAGCCACCAACCAACCCAACACCATTTTGATTGTTCCAGAAATGCCGAACCGCTATTTTTCAACTTTGTCCAACTGATGAACGCAATCCGGTCCCAGCTATATTTCTCTCAACTGACAGCCTGGTTAACAGTCCAAGACGAAGACAGTCCAATCAAAATCACCAACAAGAACATCCGTTACCGTTTGACGCTGCCCGGAGAGACCTTCGAATCGGCGAATTTTTCTTCATCGGCCGTAAAACACGACTTTCCTTTGACAGACATCGGCAACGGTTTCACTGCCATGGTTTCCTTCTTGAGTTTGCCGCGGATGTCGACCTTGCCTGGTTTCATGTGTCAGAAGTGCGCTCCGAAGCCTGTTACGAACATCAACGAGAACAAAGAGGTGCAGAACGGGTTGGTGGATGACCGCATGCACACTGTGTGCACCCTGAAAGGGAAACATCGATGTGAAGATTTCGAAGAAGTGGAGAATGTCAAGAACAACAAGGCGGCTGCGTTCAAGAGGTTCTGTCAGAATGGGAAAAAGGAGTATCCATCCACCTCAAGGTAGGAAGGATGTGTTGTAGGATAAGGCATCCACATAAAATGTTGTTGCTGCAGACTAAACTTGGAGAAACTTATTATCAGCAATAAAATTTTATACGGATGTAACTAATATTTTTTTGAGGAAAATTAGCACATGTAGTCAAAGGTCAGATGCTTGAATTTACATTTTAAGAATTTATCTCTTTCATGTTATGAATATTTCACCTACTTATAAAACACATTAAAGTGGTGTAAATTTTAACAAATTAGAGTTCTGTTTCAAATAATAAATATGTAGATTTAGAAATCATCGAAAACTTAAAAATGGCGGAGGCGACGGGATAGTTTTCCTAAGGTTACATCAGAATAACAAAATTTAGATTTTTAATGTTCTCCAGTTGCTAAAAATATACTATTTAGTAAGTAATATTCTATCAAAATTTTGGGGAAGTTTGTTATTTTTTATAGTACAGGCCTTGTACGTTACCAGATAAACTGAAAGGGGATTGTTCAAGCGTAGTTAAAGACATTTATGTCAAGTTCAAAGTAATTGGTCCGATAGTCTCACAAACATTGATTAACATTTTGCTTGGTGTCTAATTATGTAGTGCAAGGATTAAAAAAAAAACAAAAAAAATCAAATCATCCTACGTAATACTTTTAATGAATTTTTAAATGATAAACATTTTGAAAATTCTGGGAATTTTAAAAATGAACATTATTATAAGTTAATTTAGAATAATTATCTCAAACTTGTTTATTGTGCCCTCAAGCTGAATATTACCTAAGACCTTCCTTGATGACTTGGATTACATCACTTCAATTGCTTATTGCAAAACAAATAATTTTTAGTTCTCTCAATAAGGTGATTTAACAGTTGCTACAAAAATTTTTAAAATACCATGCTAAAACGTAATGAATAAAAAAAATTGGTAAAAAGTTATTTAGATCGAACTTCCCTCACACTATATTAACAGTCCTGTAAATCGGGTTGAATTGATAAACTACAGGAGTATGCCATTAAATTTTGAGATGACGTCATCCAAATTTTGAAGTGAATAAATTATGATTATTTTTGCGATAACCTTCAAGCGTTTGCAGATTTCAGAGTAGTTTTCTAGTTTCTAAGTTAAATTGTAAGTTGTTGTTATACAATCTTAATTTTTTTCCAGAAATCTAGATGTCTAAAACAAAAAATTTTGAGATGACGTCATCAACTTTTTGGTGGGAATGATAATCAAGTTTTGGTTAGCGGTTTGCCATCTGCACTATATTCCTATAGTACATCTAAAGTTTCACAGCATTCAGTCCAGTAGATTCAGACATATTAAAAAATCGCCAACAGACGACGAACAAACGAAAACAGGGGGCCTACATTTTCATAATCTAGGCGCTTAAAACGTCGAGAAAAGATGAAAATAGTCATTAGCCATATGGAGTCTATAACAATACTTTCCTAGTTTACGCTGGGCAAGTTCAAGTTGTACCTACTAATAATAATAAAGATGCTTTTTTTTAAGTTCCTGTATTTCCTTAAATATATAATAAAAATTAAATAATAAATATACTCGTAACACTGAATTTATCAAGAGGTGCATGACGTAGTCGGAGTGATTTCCATTTTTTTTTCAGTTTTGTGAGTTCATTAAAAGTTAAGAGCCCGAGAGTTTTTTTTTTTTTTTGATGTATGAAATTTTTAAAAATACGGTAATATTCTTTAATAAATAATACCGGGTGATTATTAATGATTGAAGCAAATTAAAAAAAAAACAGTTGGGACCCCCGAGAAGGTTTTATATTTTTAAAAAAGACAGTTGGGATCCCTGAGAAGGTTCCACATTATAAAAAAAAAATGGCGCCCCCGAGGAGGTTTAACATTTTTAAAAAAGACAATTGGGACTTCCGAGAAGGTGTCACTTTCTTAAAAAAATACATTTGGAGCCCCCGAGAAGGTTTTACTTTTTTAAAAAAGACAGTTGGGCCTCCTGAGAACGTTTCACATTCTTAAAAAAGGTATTTGGGGTCCTCGAGAAGGTTTTACATTTTTAAAAAAGACTGTTGAGCCCCCGAGAAGATTTCACATTAAAAAAAAAAGATATTTCGGACCCTCGAGAAGGTTTTACATTTTTAAAAAGATAGTTGGGACCCCCGAGAAGGTTTAACATTCTTAAAAAAAGATATTTGGAGCCCCCGAGAAGGCTTTACATTTTAAAAAAAGACAGTTGGGACCCCCGAGAAGGTTTTATATTTTTAAAAAGACAGTTGGGACCCCCGAAAAGGTTTCACATTAATAAAAAAAAAGATATTTCGGACCCTCGATAATGTTTTACATTTTTAAAAAAGACAGTTGGGACCCCTGAGAAGGTTTAACATCCTTAAAAAAAGAAATTTGGGGCCCCCGAGAAGGCTTTACATTTTTAATAAAGACAGTTGGGACCCCCGAGAAGGTTTTATATTTTTAAAAAGACAGTTGGCACCCCCGAGAAGGTTGCACATTATAAAAAAAAATTGACGCCCCCGAGGAGGTTTTACATTTTTAAAAAAGACAATTAGGACTTCCGAGAAGGTTTTACTTTCTTAAAAAAATACATTTGGACCCCCGAGAAGGTTTTACATTTTTAAAAAAAGACAGTTGGGACTCCCGGGAAGGTTTCACGTTCTTAAAAAAGATATTTACGGCCCTCGAGGTTTTACATTTTTAAAAAGGAGGGTTGAGCCCCTCCGAAGGTTTCGCATTAAAAAAATATATATTTGGGACCCTCGATAATGTTTTACATTTTTAAAAAAGACAGTTGGGACTCCCGAGAAGGTTTAACATTCTTAAAAAAAGATATTTGGGGTCCCCGAGAAGGCTTTACATTTTTATTAACGACAATAGGGACGCCCGAGAAGGTTTTATATTTTTAAAAAAGACAGTTGGGACCCCCGAGAAGGTTTCACATAAAAAAAGAAAATTGGCGCCCCCGAGGAGGTTTTACATTTTTAAAGAAGACAATTGGGACTTCCGAGAAGGTTTTACTTTCTTAAAAAAATACATTTGGGCCCCCGAGAAGGTTTTACATTTTTAAAAAAAGACAGTTGGGACCCCCGAGAAGGTTTTATATTTTTAAAAAGACAGTTGGGACCCCCGAAAAGGTTTCACATTAATAAAAAAAAAGATATTTCGGACCCTCGATAATGTTTTACATTTTTAAAAAAGACAGTTGGGACCCCTGAGAAGGTTTAACATCCTTAAAAAAAGAAATTTGGGGCCCCCGAGAAGGCTTTACATTTTAAAAAAAGACAGTTGGGACCCCCGAGAAGGTTTTATATTTTTAAAAAGACAGTTGGGACCCCCGAAAAGGTTTCACATTAATAAAAAAAAAGATATTTCGGACCCTCGATAATGTTTTACATTTTTAAAAAAGACAGTTGGGACCCCTGAGAAGGTTTAACATCCTTAAAAAAAGAAATTTGGGGCCCCCGAGAAGGCTTTACATTTTTAATAAAGACAGTTGGGACCCCCGAGAAGGTTTTATATTTTTAAAAAGACAGTTGGCACCCCCGAGAAGGTTGCACATTATAAAAAAAAATTGACGCCCCCGAGGAGGTTTTACATTTTTAAAAAAGACAATTAGGACTTCCGAGAAGGTTTTACTTTCTTAAAAAAATACATTTGGACCCCCGAGAAGGTTTTACATTTTTAAAAAAAGACAGTTGGGACTCCCGGGAAGGTTTCACGTTCTTAAAAAAGATATTTACGGCCCTCGAGGTTTTACATTTTTAAAAAGGAGGGTTGAGCCCCTCCGAAGGTTTCGCATTAAAAAAATATATATTTGGGACCCTCGATAATGTTTTACATTTTTAAAAAAGACAGTTGGGACTCCCGAGAAGGTTTAACATTCTTAAAAAAAGATATTTGGGGTCCCCGAGAAGGCTTTACATTTTTATTAACGACAATAGGGACGCCCGAGAAGGTTTTATATTTTTAAAAAAGACAGTTGGGACCCCCGAGAAGGTTTCACATAAAAAAAGAAAATTGGCGCCCCCGAGGAGGTTTTACATTTTTAAAGAAGACAATTGGGACTTCCGAGAAGGTTTTACTTTCTTAAAAAAATACATTTGGGCCCCCGAGAAGGTTTTACATTTTTAAAAAAAGACACTTGGGACTCCCGGGAAGGTTTCACATCCTTAAAAAAGATATTTGGGGCCCTCGAGAAGGTTTTACATTTTTAAAAAAGACAGTTGAGCCCCGAGAAGGTTTCACATTAAAAAAGATATATATTTGGGACCCTCGAGAAGGTTTTACATTTGAAAAAAGACAGTTGGGACCCCCGAGAAGGTTTCACATTCTAAAAAACCATTTGGCGCCCCCGAGGAGGTTTTACATTTTTAAAAAAGACAATTGCGACCCCCGAGAATCTTTCTCATTCTTTAAAAAATACATTCGGGGCCCCCGAGAAGGTTTTACATTTTCAAAAAAGATTTTAAAGATAAAGTTAACAGTACGATGACTTGGCACCGTACTGTTATATTTTATTATGACAATCAGGTATGCCATGATAAAAAAATCACAAATTCACAATCATTAATAGTCACCAAAAAAATATGACTGTTTCCAAGTTGGAGTGGTTCATAACTAAAAAGCTTGAAGAGGCAAGATCAGATGAAACAGCCTGTATACTAATACTCGAATATGCTGAAACCCACGATCAAATATAGCCATGGATTTTTGAGGATTTGTCTTTGATAGAATTTTCGGCTTGTCAGATTACCGTTTGAGTTGAAAACGCAACGATCAAAGACAAACTTCCAAAAATCAAAGGCTATCTTTGATCGTCTTTTGGAATAGTAAAATACATTCTGGTGTACCTGGTTGAAAACTCGTACAAATTTTAATTAAAGTAATAGTTGTCTAAAAAAAATGTTTGGGGTTGAATTCTTTCAAAGTTACACAGCATTGGCTAAAGTACGCCAACTAAATCACTCCAAAACTTTGTACCTAAATTTCCCAGCTGCTTGCTTACCACAAACGTTCGTGACTTGCCTTACTTATAACTTATAACATTAAATAGATGGATTAAATTTTGAATAAACCAAGTCCAAGATTAACAACCGCATTATTGCCACTAAATTCGCCATAACCACGACGTTTCTTAAACCTGTAATAATCCACCTTCAACATTCTTCACTCGGGCCATCGACTGATTATATAAGCCTTGAAAATGAGCTACCACCTCAGAGATATAAATAAATATTAAAACAACGTGAGTTCCAACGTACAACTAATTTAAACGGCTAAGGATTTCGTGCGGAAAATGTAGAACTAACCGAAATAATGTCACGTCACTTAAACACCGAAATTTCATTCTAAAATGTGTGCCACTAAATTCGCAGTTATCATAATTTCAGGCATGTGCTGAATCGACAAAGGTCGCTGATGTTGAAGCGCAACTAATTTTACATTAACCAGAACATTCAAATGTCCTCAGATCCGCAAATTTAGCTCAGAGTAAAAGGATTTTAATTTAAATGTCTCTTGATGGGTATAATCATGTAAATGAATTAATATTTAATGGTGTTTGGCAGATTTTGATGCAAAATTTTGCCGCATATTAACGATCGCTGGCTGCAACGCTTCCCCTCATTACTTTCTCTTTGAACTTCCGGTCATCGAGTAATTAAATGTTCTCGGAAAACACGTGCCGCGTACAGTATTTTTAGATTATGCTAAATAAGTTCACGATGATTTCATTATGTTAGCAGTCGACCGTCGCAGCGAATCTTAACCAAATTCAGAGTTTTTAAGTATTAAATAAAATTTTTTATCTAGTTTATGTATATACCAAACATCTGATCCTCTACTACAAAATATCAAGCCTCGTTCTATGAAATTGTATCATTTTTCCCGTCACCATGTTCTCTTTTCGTCTAGGCCAAGACTGACCGTCGACATCCACAAGGCGAACTCCTTCACTCTCCACGAATGGCCCCGAAATTTCCACCAGACGCAAGCCGAAAAGAACCTCTTAAATAGCCATAAAAATGATCTCACTGTGGTGCAGGACAAAGGCAAGCTCTTGCTCGACGCGATCGAGCGGAGCGGCCTCAAGAGTACAAACGAGAGACGCGTGCGAGATGGTGATAGAAGATGTGATGAAACCTGTGTTCAAAACGGACGGAAGGATGAAAGTGATAATGGATCTTGTGATATGAGCGAAAGTGATATTTCTAGTATTAAGGAAAAAAGCAAATATGACGTAGAATTAGATACTTGTGATAGTTTAATTCCGAAACTGAGACACAAAAAGCTGAGGGATGTCGCCAACCTGGACCAGGCGGCACCCAAAAGTAGGAAGAAACTGCCGTTCGACGAGGACGGTCTCAAGAACGAAGTGGAGATACCGACTGCTTTGGAGCAGGCGAAGTTCCGGAAGGATCTGGACAACGCGGCGTCGATGGTGTTCCATTCCAGGACGGGGCTGCCTTTGACGAGCAGCCCAGCGCCGGTAAGAAGAGGGAAGACTTGTTTCGATTTCGATTCTTCTATTAATTCTGTTTCAGCTATCAAAAGGTATTTCGTTCGGGATAGTGGTTTATGTGAACTAAAATCGTTTTGTTGCAGCGCCTTATTTCCCACCAGTTTTTCTACAGACGAAGACAGCGAAAGCGATGGCAGCATTGTTTCGCCCTGCAGCCCTGAAACTAACGCAGTTCCGAAAAGGGAGCTGTCGCCTGTCAAATTCAGGAGAAAAGGGCATGCAGCTAATTTGTTAGGTTGGTGTTATATTTCTGCGTCGCATCTACTTTTTCCAATTTTGAAATACGTACGATTTTCACGAATTATGGTTGCGCCGACTTGAATGGACTTCGACTATTTGGCGTTTTTCTTTATATGTACTTGCCACTGAATCGGAAAGTGACGTACCGTGTACTCACGGATTTACATAGATCGTGAGCTTGTCAAATTTATTTCTGTAGCGCCATCTACTACAAAATCTTGTACTGGATCGTAGTTGTTGAAGTCCAGCTTCACCGTTCATTTTTATTCAAAGTTATTAACACCAACAAAGTTTGAATAGTAAATCCACAATATGCTTTTCAAGGACGTCCGCACATGCACGGAAAATTTCGACCCAGAATGTAGTAATAGCTCTTTTTAATAAATGTTAATGGAATTCGTATTTATTCATTTTTTGCATAACATCAGCTTAATTTATTGCCTTGGATTGTCACTGAAATTAATCGCAGATTAAAAATATTCGCGTTAACTGGACTCCGAGTAGAACTACTTCTAGTATTTTTGGTTTCCCCCCAATGATTTGTTCCTAAGCTGTCATTGTTATGGAACAATGGCTAGAATTATAAGTTAACCACAAAATTTAAATGTCTATTGTACCAAAGACTACTACGCAATAAATTAAGCTTGAGAATATGTCACACATTACACCTTGACGGTTTATTGCCCCGTTATAAATTCAGTATAAAATCCCCCCACAATTAATTATCCCCACATAGTAATTTAAAAAAAAATAAGACCATAAAATTTGTATGTGTCACCAATATGCGCCTCAAGTGGTTTTCAGACAAAATTTAACTTTTTATTTCAAAAAACTTAAAGAACAAATTGAAAACTGACATTTGTAGATTTAAAATTAGAGCAGCTTAAGGTTGCTGTTACACTGAAGTAAATATGGGTTATAATTACTAAAGAGCGGATTTATATGCATACATATTTGTCAAAATAAGCGCATTATATTTTGTCTCTTTTTCTTAGTACACGTGGTCTTCTTTTCACAACAAGAAACTTAAAACATATTTAAAATGGTATATTTTTGTAAAGAAATATAGATTCAATTAAGTTTCGCCTGTGGATCTGACAACGAATGAAAAATTCATCACAATTGAGGTCGGGTGGGTGGGCGGGGCTTACATGTTGCCTTTTTTTACTTAACACACCTAGTTTTCTTTTCACTACAAGAAACTGAAAACATGTTTCTACTGGTGTTATTTGTTAAGAACATATCAGTTGAATGTCAAGATTTGTATCAAAGTTTCGTCCATTACAAAATATATAAATTGTTTCTTTTAGAATTTCTTTAATACTAGAAATAGTCTCATTGTAAATATCTGATACATATTTTTTCCACAGCGTACTTTTGTCCGGTTTAACATTTCTACAATATTTTTCTAGTAACGGTTTGAAACATTTTAAGGGGAATATTAAGCATCGCTTTTCATAAATCTTTTGATTCGTGGAGATTTTGACACTTCCTTTTGTGCTGTGTTGAAACATGTTGTGATATTTGGAACTTGCGCTCACATGTTGTCTAAAAAATAAATTCAATTTTTTTTTTATTTCAAGAAAAAAACAAGCTAATTTTCTTCGGTTGAAATAAGTTCAGGATATTTTTTTATCCATGCATTTATTAAAGTTGTTTTCACTTTGGGAATTTTCACAAAATTTAATAAGAAATATGTCAAACTATTCTCCCCATCTTTACTTGCAATATTAGGCATGAAATACTGTTTGCTCAGTCAACATGTACCTGGTTAATCTTTTATGGCGTAAGAAGAAAGAGCTTTCGGTATATTTATGTAGAAAAATACCGGAAAAACTTAAATAGATGTTCAGATGTTCTTAGACTGTCGCCAAACAGAAGTCATAAATTTTATTGCCCTCTAATAAACCATTTACGGCGACTTTAAAAATTATTGAGTATGACAATAGAAGACCTAACTTCGGATTTTGCAAGTATTTTAGGAACAGAGATATTTTTTCAACTGACAAAGTAAAACTTCGCAAATATGCAGCAATTAATCTACGTCAATTAAAAAAAAAAAAAAGGATAATTCTGTTATACTGAGTGTCTGGAAAATTTCGAATTATCTCTCCTCAGCTACGCTGTTAACAATCAACTGGTGAGTCTGGAAAAATACTTAAAAAAAGTTGGTGGAGTTATAATGATTTTAAAATTGCTTCTTTTGCTACCTTTAACAACTAAATAACACATTCGTTATCACAATAACTAGTAATGCAACTTTTAGTTAATATTTCTCTCGCCCATGACCATGTTTTATTACCATTTCAGTTAGAATGTACAAAGATATGGTTGTGTTGTTTTTGTAATAATTTGATAAAATTCCATTTGACAACAATGTTTGCCTGATATAAAGCGACGAAAAATATTTGGCGGCTCACAAAATTGCCAAAGTTTTTGAGTTAATTTTGGGACACCGGTTTTTTTTTTTTAAACTTAAAACAATCTTGAAGTTCTAGGTATTCGTGTTTGGAAAGAACCCACCCTCTCTTTTCTTATAGGGTATGTCATTTGCCAAAATCGATCTTATTTTAGCAGATACTAACCCCGCCCACCCACCCTCTCTTTTCTTAGAGGCTATGTCATTTGCCAAAATCAGCCTTATCTTAGCAGGGACTAGCCCCGCCCACCCACCCTCTCTTTTCTTAGTGGGTGTCTCGCTAGCCAAAATCAGTCTTCTCTTAGAGTGTATGTCATTTGCCAAAATTAGTCTTATCTTAGGAGGTACTACCCCGCCCACCCACCCTATCTTTTCTTAGTGGGTATCTCGCTAGCCAAAATCAGTCTTCTCTTTTTTAGAGGGTATGTCATTTACCAAAATCGATCTAATTTGAACAGGTACTCGCTCCGCCCACCCACCTTTTCTTTTCTTAGTGGGTACCTCGCTAGCCAAAATCAGTCTTCTCTTTTTCTAGAGGGTATGTCATTTACCAAAACATCGGTCTTCTTTTAACAGGTATTAGCCCCACCCACCCGCCCCCATTTTTCTTAGAGAGTATCTCATTTGCCAAAATCAGCCTTATCTTAGCAAGTACTAGCCCCGCCCACCCACCCTATCTTTTCTTAGTGGGTATCACACTAGCCAAAATCAGTTTCCGCTTTTCTTAGAGGGTGTGTCATTTACCAAAATCGGTCTTATTTTAACAGGTACTAGCTCCACCTACTCGCCCTCATTTTTCTTAGAGAGTATCTCATTTGCCAAAATCGATCTTATTTTAGCAGGTGCTAACCCCGCCCACCCACCCTCTCTTTTCTTAGAGGGTATGTCATTTGCCAAAATCAGCCTTGTCTTAGCAGGTACTAGCCCCGCCCACCCACCCTATCTTCTTGTGGGTATCTTGCTAGCCAAAATCGGTCTTCTCTTTTCTTAGAGGGTATGTCATTTGTCAAAATCATAGCAGGTACTAGCCCCGCCCACCCACCCTCTATTCGTAGAGGGTATCTCATTTGCCAAAATCGGTCTTATTTTAGCAGCTAGTAGCCCCGCCCCCACCCGCCCACTCTTTTCTTAGAGGGTATGTTTTATCAGAATCAGTTTATCTTAGCAAGTATTGATGACTACTACAAAAAAAAAATGATCAAAATTTGGAAACACTACGAATTTTTTTATTATTTTTTAGGACTCCCGAAACCCCCGTATATAACGTACTGATGAGTTAATGCGCCATTTTCTAGACACCCGGTATACTACTCCTAAAGCATTTTTGTCATATCAAAAAAAATACGGAGTATGCAAATTGCATATAAGTAATCCGCTCTTAATAATTATTACAAAATTACACACAGGTTTGTAAGAAATAGTGCATATAACACCAGGTGTTTTTTTCCATGATCACTACAGGTAGCAGCAGCAGCCTTAAAGAAGCACATGACGTCATTATGACATTCGAATATAGGATGAAACGAAATTCAGTAATAAAATGCAGTGGTTACTAGATAGTTTTATCTGTTTTGACCAAATATATAAGAAAAAAAATATTTCCATTCATTTTTAAATTCACTGATATTCGAGATACGAACAAAAACCAAAACTCCAATTTTGTGAACACACAAATCATTGAAAACCGTCACACAAATAACAGATAATTTAGGCAAAAAATGCAACAATTAAACAGTTAAAACTTCAACTGTTTTTAGCTGAAAGCACTCTCATCCCGATTTGGTAAGACTTCGTTATGACGTCATGCGCAGATCTTCCACCACTTCGGTTACCATAACTTGAAAACTAAATACTCAAAAGAAAAGAAACTGAGCGATGACAGCAGTTGTGAGTAAAAAAAACTACGACCTGCTACATATATACATATACCTATAAAACTACTGTTAAAAAAGATAATCATAACCAATTTTCAACTAGAAAGTGATGTACCAGATGACTCCACTCGATCGATGTTTTACAAGTTTACTTTTTTCTAGATCACACCACTGTAAATTCAGCAACACCAAAAAACTTGAGGTAACCAAACACAACTTTTTTTAATCCAAATGCTTAAAATCGAAGGATCTTTCCAGCAGATCAGTTCTTATCCCATCAAAAACTCTGCTATTCGTTTTACTTTTTTACTTTTGTGTGTAGAAATAAAAAAAATCCCGATTTTCAAATTTATTAAGGTGTGATTTCACCATGCTGTTGTCAAGCAGTGGACATCTAGCAATGACGCAGAGAGTACATTCAAATTTAACAAAAAGTAAAAAAAGAGACAGTAGGTAGTGCTCAAAATAAAAAAATAATTTCATTACATAAAAATAACATAAGAGGTAGGTTAAATCTGAAAAATACATTTGTTACTCATCAAATGAATACTGCATAAAATTCAAAATTAGCTCATTTAAAAAAACAACTTTTTGTTTATTTTGGTTTTGGTAATTTTAACAACATTGTGATATCCGATCAATAAAAACTGCCCTTTAGGTGGCGTTGGATTTTTCGTTCGATGAGAATACAGTTTACTCGTCCAGCGCCTACTTGACGACGTTTTTTTTTATTGATTGTATCTTATATGACCTTGCAGTGAGAAAATTTCAAGAGACCCTGTTAAATAATGTACATGATACCATAATCTTGGCCCTGTATTAAAAACAGTGAAGTATTCCTGTAGTTACTAAATGATTGGTTTAATTATGAAACGAGAGTAGTTTACAAATCACGTATAGTTTAAATCCATTTATCAACAACAATCGCCATATTTGAATTATTATTTGTATCCACAACAACCAAAAAATTAAACGTTGAGTTTCGTTCCATGGGTGTACGTGACGTCAAAAATGTTAAACATGGGTGAATTAGAACACAAAATTTCAATGTTGTTGATCAGTCCGTACTACGATGAATTAAAAATATAGTAATAAGAAAAAACTACCCCACACTCATCGTCTCCCTGTTTACAGGAAGCTTCGAAGAGTCGGTATTAAACGGCCGTCTTGAACCAGTGTCAACCGTCCATGGCTTCACCGCTGAACTAGGGGCCAGTGGTTCTTTCGTTCCTAAACATCTAGTTGTTCCCGTCACCGTATTTTTTTACACTTTGGGTGATAACGACAAAGTTTCATCACCATACCTGGTATTTCCCGCCAAAATTGCCGCAAACACTCGCTAAAACTTGACTTTCCAGAGCCACATAAATCTAGGCAAAAAGGGTTACAACGTCCCCAAATCCGGAACCATTCAAGTCACCCTTTTCAACCCTCTGGGGACCGTTGTGAAGATGTTTGTTATTATGTACGACCTCAGCGACATGCCGCCCAATTCCCAGACTTTCATCAGACAGAGGACGCTTTACATGCCCACGAACTGCAAGGAGGAGAACGCGGAATGGGGGCCCAAGTGGTTGCGCTACCTCATCCATTTAAGGTGATATTCGCGCGGTTTTTTTACTAGTTAGATACATGAATTTCTTTGTGCAGGTTCATCAGTTCCAAGTCGGGTAAGGTGTATTTGCACAGCGACATACGGATGATCATTTTCCGCAAAAGTGATATGGACACGGCCACGGCTCATGGGATCGACATGAGTTACGAATTGAGGAGTTTCACTCATATGCCAGTCAATCCTAGATTCTCACCAAGGAAGTAACTAGAAGTCAAATTAGAAGAATCACGAATTCCCAGAAATGTATTCAAACTACATTATCATATTTGCTGTTCGTTATTTAGTTGTTTCGTGCAGAGTGATGGATAGAGGTTTCTTTGCGAAAATTCGTTAGAAAAAATAGCTCAGAACTGCCATTGTTGTAAATATATGTAAATATTGATTTCGTTTGGATTTTTTAAGGACAATACTGGTATGAATCTTCTTTCATTTTTGTTTTGGAAATTTAGTATTAGGCGTTGATTATTTTCTAACTGTGGAATTGGCAATTTTTCAATTTTAGAGTAGCACCAGTATCTACATTATATTGACAACATTATGAAGTTATAATTATACAAGTATCAGAGATATTTATTATTATACATGATCATAGAATTATACTAATTTTGTATTAGTCATTGAAAATAAATGTGTGAAAAATATAACTTATTTTTATTTTCATTGCATACTTAAAACATGTCTGGATTTTCTTTAATTTCCTCATACATTCGTTGCTCTATTAAAGTTAATAACGTCCTATCTTCCTCCATGTTACAACTTACGTACACTGCTTTGCACAATTTCTTTGCGAGTCTTGAGGCTATCCCTTTTGAAACTTCTACAGTAAAGTCACCGAAAAGTCGAGTACAGATTGGTTGAGTGTCATACCGGTTCATCAACGACAAGAACAGAGTACTAAACTGCATATTGTCTTTCTCGTTTATGAATATAAGCAACGAGTCTGTCATTTTTACAACTTGGTACACTATTTTTCGTTCAGAAATGACTGCATTAAACTTATGAATTGTGAAGTTTGAGGTTGTGTACTCCACTTTGATACCGTCTTCGCCAGTCAATCGATCCTCCTTTTCCGACATTTTTTATTTCTAAAAAGAGAATTTAGCAATAGTGTTAACAAAATTGTGGGAAACCACCTTCTAAACGAGTTTGATTTTCGCTTTATACATACAAAAAGTTAGGTTATGTTTGAATCAAAATCACAATGTCACTACTGTCAAAGTTGACATTTGAGCAACGTAGCCAGTGGCGTAACATGGTGGCGGTTTACATTTTAATATGTACCACGGACCTAGATAAGAAGGACCACAGTAGATCAGTAACGAAACTTCAGCAATATTTGCGGAACGGGTGTGACCTTGGGAGCCCGTTCCCGGGAAACACGAAGATTCAAATATTTCGTAGCATTCGTATGTGATTCATATAATACTAATAATTGTACACAAAAATAAAAATGGTTGGCATGTACTAGTGACATTGGTCATTTTTTTCTTTCCTATAAATTATTAATATATTCAAGCAAAACATTTTTATTCAATTTTGACGTTTTAAACTGCGTTTATTAAAACCTTAACAAGTCTGACAAATAAGTTGTTATCCACAAGTGAATTGCAAAATTTTTAATTTACTCTTAATATTTTTAAATCACTCACAAAAAAATAAAAAACAACTTCAGGAACATAAACATTTTGCTTATTATTTTTAATAGTTTTCACAGAATACAATTTGTTTACAATTTTCACTAAAAGGTTGCTGCAACTAAATCAGTATTGTTTGACATATTTCTTTGGCTCTGTGAGGCGTCAATTTGGGAATTGTATAAATCCCACACCAATAGAATTCCAAAGAACGTTTCGGAAACTATTTACTACAGATTATTTCGATACAAGTGCAAGAACCAACTGTGAAACACTATTTTATTTGAAATGAAAAATTTGCTAAGGTGTTCTTTTAAATAAACTTCCACAACACATCTTCCCTGTATTCCGGTCTCTTCAACAATCATTAAGTGATGTGAGTTACCGGAAACTCACCTTGAAAGTACACAACTGTTTATGGTATGTTTGTGGATATTCATTAATACGAAAATTCTTACACCACCACTTCTGCGAAGTTTGTGAGAACTTTGCACATTCTTACGAAGTGGTACATCCTGTTTTAATTGTGACATTTTAAAGTTTTCAATGAAGATGTGATTTTTGGCGATTTAATGATGCCACCTGAACATTTTGCAGTTTATACTCCGGTAGTGGGTAATACATTTTGTGAGTTTTTCCCAATTTATGCACTGTATTCGTTAACTGGTTTGCGGCTAAAAAACGAACCCTACAAAAATACCATTCCACCACCCCTGCAAAGACTTTCCTCTTGATTACCTCGTCTCAGTTTTTATTAGAGTTAGAATTTTTTACACACTAAAATTTAAAAATAAATCTTGGACCGCTCAAACACGCACACATCGAAAATTAAACTATTTCGTTTAACCTGCAGTTTGTTGACCTCTTTAGCCTGGAATTTTCTAGTATTTTTTACATGTATCGTAAGACTACGTCGTAAGTATCTATTACTTTGTTACAATAAATTTTACGTTTGTTTTTAACCCCATAACCCAACATCCCGTATGATTCCGTAAATAATATGACATTTCTTGTTGACAAAACCAGACAAAACGTTCACCGAAAACCTTAAAATGAAAAAGAAACTATGTTCTTCAAGGTCGGAGCACCTTTAGTGACGCCAGTGACCTCTTTATGTCGTTCCGTAAGCTCCCCATGTATTTCTTATGGAGTCAGCTGAGACTTTCATAGCCCTGGAAGGACAAACGACTGTCAATCCCACAGCATTAAAAACGTGGCTCCATTTAGTTTCCGTTATTTTTGGCGCGACCGCTAGAGGCGCCACCGAACACAAGCCCTAGTTTAATATGGAAGCTTATGGAAATTTGAACGTTTTTTTTAATTAATTTAATTCAAAAAGGATATAAAAACCTTATCAGGCGTAAAAGTTGTCTGGTTTGCGATAAATAAAATTCTAATTTATAGTTTAAGGTTACTTTTTAATTTAGAACAAGTAAAAAGTGCATTTAATATTAGCAATGTGAATTTTTTTTAGAACTACTTTGTTAATTAAAAGATACTACTACGTCTCAAATATTCTTCTAAAAAATATGACGTTCCTCAACTTCAGTGCAGGTGGAAAAGGTCACAATTTTATGTCACTTAAAGAAAAATGAAAAAATATACACTTTAAAGACACATTTCAGGAATCTGTTAGTTCAAAGCTAATTACTACGTAATTTAACTTGTTTTTTTTTAAAGGCTGAGATTTCCGCCAATGCAAATGTCTGATGACATAAATTTCTTCAAGGTGTCCTCAAACAAATTCACATTCCTTCGAATCTGTTCAAGGTTACATTCGATATTCACTTCCACCCGATTTACAAAAACATGTAACTGAAAATTTTCATTCACTAAAACATGTTGCACGTTTGGCTTTTGTGTTTTGATAACTGTTTTTGAAAACATTACATTTTTAGTGTCACCCTCACTGTATGTGGTAACCTCACAAAAAGAAGGCAATCGAAATGGTATATTTACATCCAACAAATTCTTAAAAGGGTTTTTAATTACGTCTAGGTCTTCGACTAATTATCTACAGGTTCCAAATTTTCAAGATGCTCCATTTTTGCCCTTTCCGATGGAATTTCATGTCTTTCGATTATCCTCCTTTTCGATACTGTTGTTGTCAAATAACCAGGACAATTGGGAAATATTGTTGGTATTGCCCCATGTTTTAATTTTGGACGCTTATACGGAATTTAAATCTGAAATGTAAGCAGTAGGTACTCAATACGTTCATCTAATGTACTTACCGAACCAGACTTCCATTCCTTAATTATCTCTGGCGAAGTAAAATGTCTTTCACACACAACATCAGGGGATGTGAGATCTCCTCTAGGTATTTTTCTTTATCAGATAATAGATTCTCATCATGTGGAGCACGAAATAACGAAAATTTACCTGTTTCACCTTTGTAACCTGTACGGCACATTGGTACAAACTACTGCCACTTCTTGTCGTCATCTTCGTTTGTCACTTTCCATTAATTGCCTGATGCATCTTTTATTAACTGTGGTTAATAAGAATTACCAAGTTTTTGTCATATATTAAAAATATTTGGTGAAACAATAATAACACCGCTTTACTTCAATGGAAAACAAGGGCTAGTAACACACAGCGCCACCACGGAAATAAAACGGAACCATCCGAACTACACAGTACAATGTCCTTCATATTTTAGTCCGTGATATGTACTTATCCTTTTAATGAAAAATTAACCATATGCAGTCCTGTTAAATAGTTAACTACAAGTAGTTAAAAGTGTAGTTCAACTACTGTCGGTGAAGTTAACTACCCATTTAATTACATTTTTCGTTCTTGTAGCTGAAATATTATATTTCAACTACAATTTTGATACATTTTTAATTACATTCTTCTTTCTTTAGTTGTTTCTCAATTTTGTTGGGTTACAAGGACAGGTACCTTTTCCTGGTATTAAGAGGGATATCTAGTCTTTTTAATCCGCAATTTTGATTGTTTCGACTCCGCCCAACTGTAAGGTTGGATTACCGAACCAAAAATTTTCTTGTTCAGTTGCCAGTTCAGTTCAACCTGGTGAAAACTGTGTCCTCTGTTCTATATACTGCGTCTAATTCAATTTTGCGATGGAAAATAATTTGCCACTTACCTTTAAATCAGAGTTTTTTAAAATAATTGAAGTGAACAGTGACAAAATTAAAGCGAAATGCCAATTTTGCCACGGAAGTCAGGGCATTATAAAGAGTTGCAGTTAATCAACCACCAATTTTTTAACACATATAAGGGTAAGTCAAGTCCAATTTTGATTTTTTAACTTTCAAATATCAGCTCAAAATAGATGACCAAATTTTAATTAATTAATTTGTTTTAATTTTCAGAGAGAACATCCAAATAAAGTGGCCAACCAATAATTCCTTTAGCGAAATTGAAGGACAACCTCCAAATAAAATTAGTAAAGCTGCAATTTCCAATGCTTTTGCAGCAGCATTAGCCTATTCGAATAGAAAAGCAGTTTCTTCTGATCAGGTAAAGAATTATTTGTATAGTTGATTTGCGATATAAATTAAGATCAATTTGAAATACCTGGATACTATATTATAATTTTTTTAGTGCAATGCAGCAGTTTTACAGTACATAGTGGCAGAAATGCTGACAATTTTACAGTCGATAAACCAAGCTTCAGAAATATGTTACATGCCGTCTCTAACGGTGCGTTTAAACCTGTTTGTCGCCAAACTTTGTCAAAACAAATTTCAAATTACATAGAGAAGTGTAAGCGTAATCTAAGGAGCATTATGGAAACTCGAGATTTCATGCACATATTTGGTCATAAAACAATAAGAACTTCTATTGATACCGAATCTCTTAAAAGGAAATCTTGTTTTGGCTTGTAGGAAAATTAAATATTCTCACACTCACGACTGAATTGGTAATATTCTGCACAGCATACACCAAGAATTTATAAGCGATATTAATAAAATTAACTGTACCCAAAATTTTTGTAAAGCATTTAAAAATTTTTCAAACGAAAATACAAATGAAAATGAGTCTAGCTCATCTCAAATAAAAGTAGGAAACGAAACAGAAAAAGATGACGTTCAAGTTCATGACTTGAATTTCACTTTATTAAATAGTGATGACTAGAGAGCGGAAAATATGCAGCAAAATTTTGGGAAATATGATCATATGATATGCATCAAATTTATGCAAATATGCAGTAACTTTCTTAATATATGCAGAGATATGCAGTTGCATATGCTCCAAAAATTAAAAAAAAAGCGTAATAACCGAACTAAATTTATTTACAAATTACAAAAACAGGTTTCCCGAGCTTACATTTTATTACAAAAAATACATAAATCACATTGCAAAGTGTTTAATTACATCTCATTAACACATAAATCACATTTTTAAGGATAATATTCTTATATTAAAAAATAAATATAAACAGAACACATTAAAAAATGGTAGTAATCGACTATTTAATTACTATTTTGATAACAATTTATTTTTAAATATTTTTCGAAATATACTAACAAAAAATTTTTCGGGTGATTCTAAAGTATGTATTTGTTAATAGAAAAACTGCGTACTGCGTCCACAAATGTAAAAATACTTATACCAGTTTAGAGCAGGCGCGAAAAACACAGTTTCTTCTTGAAGAATAAGTTCAGGAAAAGGTTTAATCCATAAATTAATTTGAGTTATCTTTGACATTTTGACACACCTGGATCGCTTTAAATGCTTTCAATGCAAACTCACGATGAAAAATAATATGATAAGGTCCCTTCGACCACTATAAAACATACCATTAATACACGAACAAAAATATTGGGAATGGTATTTCCAAGAGTAATTAGTGCCCGATTTTACCTCAAAAGTATCATAAAACCCAAAACTTTCCTAGTTATTTGAAGCTCAGGACAATATTTGCAATAGAAAGATTCATGAAATTTCGTCTTTCTAGACAAATGCCGATAGAATGACAATAATTTTTTTTTCAAATTAGCACAAAAATTGATAAAAATGCAAAATATGCACCTGTTAGGCGAAATATGCAGCAGAAGGCAAAAATATGCAAATATGCAATTTTTTATAGCTGTATTCTTTTTTAATTAGCATGATTCGTTCACATATTAAATATCAAGACTTATATGCAAAAAATAACGGATATGCAAATTTCATAAAATCCGCTCTCTAAGTGATGACGATTTGGATTTACCTAAACAATATTGCTCACACACGTTAAATTTAATAGCAACAGTTGATGCACAAAAAATCGTATCTAATACCTCTAGCAAATCTTAAAAAAAATTATCAGAGTGTTTCTGCGATTTGGAATGCTAGCAGTAGATCGAAAATATATTGTTACGATGATGGGTGAATTAAAATCGGCGTGGGTTAAACTCAACAATTTATTTTTTAATAACTCGAATTACACGACTGATTATTACACAGCGATTATGCACAAAATAATTCCGGAGCAAACTTGAATGTACTCTCGATTGATTGAATAATGCTCGTTCCAGACGGTGGCTTCCATTTAAACCTGTATGTCACTCTCGCTGGATCGAGAACGACGCTTCGAGATTTTTCCGGGTTGCACATCGCGACTTCCGCTCCCAGGCTTTTCTTTGGCAATCGCCGGCCGGTGTCATCAATGATGAGTGATCATTGCCGTACATACGAAAACAGCGCTCAACGAACCATAGGCGTCGTACCGGGGCGGCGAATGGGTTTATTTCGTGTAAAAATTATGTTACAGAAAATTAACTGTCCCTTGTCAAGATGGAATTCTTTGTTCAATTCTGTGTATTATAAGGTGAAAATCGATGTTATTCAGGTTACGTTCTCCCTAGTATTTTACAAATTCTATATAGAGAAAACAAATCTAAAGATCTACGTTTTTGTGGCCCACTGAGGAATACTATAGTAGAAAATATTCATTCACGGTTTCAACACATACTTGATTTTAAAAATATCTTGAGCAGGCCTTTAATTTATACAACTGTCTCGTTAGCAGTCTTTAAGACAAATTGGATTGATAAAAATCAAGAATCTGATAAATATCAGATCATCAAAGATTTATTTTTAGAGGAATTGTACAAATTGTATAATAATGTTGAAGTTAAATGCGAAAATGATCCAAAATCTCCATTATTTAAATGTGGAACATTTTTTGACTTTATGTCGTTAAAAAATGTTGAAATATCTAACATCAATAGAAGTACCGGGTTTCTATAAATGATTATAGGGTCGTGCATGATATAGTAATTCTCTAGGTATGATACTCGTGCGGCTCAAAATGAAACCACAGTTCGCGCAGTGACGTCACTCGGTGAGTAGAACTATTGAAATTTCAACATAAAAGCACGAAGAATGGCTAATATTTCTGATTTTTATTGTTGTAATTCGTTATGTATTTAAAAAATGTGTTGTACAATCTCTATATTATAATATAATAATTATAATGCTGCAGTAAACAACCTGAAAGCTAAATTTTAGGTGAATTACCTGAATTAAATTGTAAAAACGAATTTAACGGAGTTTGATACGTATTTCTATTGTTTGCAACAAATTAAAATTTCGCGTTTAATATTATTTTTTGTGTACTCAATAGAAAAGTCCGGCTTTAATTTGGAGATAATTAGAAAAAAAGTGATATTTTTCTCGTTAGTAGTGCACAGGTTATCTTCAGAATTATCCATTTTTTGCTTTTTTAGGTTTTTATTTGATTATTATCAATCATGAACAGATTTGTTGTTATGGTAATTATGCACATTTAACGTGAACATAATTATCTTAAATAGAAATCTATACATGATGGTTTACCAGGTTGGAACCGTGTAAATTGAGTTTTTGGGCTTACGGTTCCAACCCGGAAAACGATCATGTATTGATTCCGACCGTGAAAGCCTCCGAAATTAATAGAAATCTACTTTAGATATTCTGTTCCAAACTTTCAAAAACTGAGTACAAGAAAAAATAACCACTAAAAATAAATACAATGCACTATTGAACTGTAATCTACATGTTAATTAACAATTTTTCGATGATTTTTCTTGGAGTGAAAATCGTTTTCATAGCTTGATTTTTTTTTGCAAGTTCGTCGTTTTGTTTTTTAAGATAAGCAATTTTTGCTTCTAGGTCTTCTCTCTGTATATCTTGATCTGTATTTGTACTACGTAAAAAAAACATAATTAAATATTGGATATACGTCTTGAAATAATCGTTTCCCTTAAGAAAGAAATATACATCGTGCAAAAAAAACCGTGCAAATATAAAAGTAATTCTTCAAAAAAAAATCAATTTCCTTGAGTAAATACAATAAATGTTCAATATACCCAACAGATTTACTTGCAGATTCTGTTTTATCTTCCAAAGCAGCACTTGCGTCATTGGTTTCAGTGCTATAAAATAAATGAAAATATAAAATAATTGCTAAAAAAAGAGTACTACATATAAGATGTTCTTTGTGAACATTTTTTTTTTATTGAATTTGTTTGATTTATATCAATATTCAAGTAAAATAACCTATTTAATTTCGCGATTTCATCCCTAGGACAAATTTCTTTAACTAACTTGGCTGATCTCCAGACTTTAGTTTCTTTTCCTTTTTTAGGAAGATAATTCAGAAGTTCGTGTTGCAAATTTCATCCGAAATCGTCTTCACTAAAATGTTGTGAACACACTCTTGCATTTTTTACTATAAAAGAGTCCGAACCACAACAAGAAATAACCCATACCCTTGGAAACGAATAAAATTGTATGTCTTTTTGAAAATGTCTTGATTGTTTATCGCTATTACACCCAAAAACGCCACAACGCATCGTTGTGACTTTATAAAATTATTAAAACAACATGTAGCCACTAAACCTTTTAAAAAATACGTGTAGGACAGAAAAACGTCGCAGAATACGCGCGAAATGCCTGCGTTTACTCACCGAGTGACGTCATCCCCCCACTCCGTACGTGCGCAATATCATACCTAGTATTTATTGTACATGGGGTCGTAGTAGGTCATGTAAACGTGCCGCCTCTCAGATTTAACTGTACGGAGATCTGGTTACAAATGACATTAGACATTAATGTGACAAGTGAGAACTGTCAAAATGAGGCATAATCACGGGCGTAATTTCAGCGAAGCGGGATTTTTGAAATTCATGGCCAACTACGCCCTTAGAATCATTTATAAAAGCCCTGTATTAGAATATTTCCAATCATTTAACAAAGACGTTGTGATGTTAAAAAAAATTGCAAATATTTTAATAGTATATTAAAGAACGAGTTTCATAAGGCAAATACTAAGGTACGAATCCAAGTTTATAGAACGAGCGGCGAAGCCGCGAGTTATATAAAGGATGAGTGCCACAATGGTCTTATGAACGAGTTATTTATGTTATTTTTTCTACCGCGCATGTTTTTTAGCAAAATTTAATCGAAATTTGCGTTTTTTTAAATCTGGGGAATTTTGTCGTGATTGGTGATGGGTTGGTCTGACACGAACTACGAAATATTTGAAGTTCAAATTTTCACAACAACTGTAATTCGAATCAATTCGAGTTTTTGTAACTTAAAATTGGTTAAAATGAAGTTAGTGAAGTCTTTACGCCTCCCGAAATACGGGAAATTTTAATTTCACATTTGCCACTGACATTCACCTGACATTTCTCGTCATGACTACCAATCTTACAGATCTAAATTACATCAGATCTATTTCAGAACCGAACCGCTTCGACGTCATTTGGGTGCTTTAATAGCTCTATTAGAAAATTGAAAACGGTGCGCGGCAGAAAAAATATTTAGGAAATATAAATATTTTACTTCCATCATCAATGCCTGTTGAGAGGATTTTTAGTTCCCGTGGCAAATTCCTGACGCCATCAAGGAATAAATTAGATGACGAAATTTCGAGTCATTGTTATTTTTAAAACATAACAAAGAGATGTAATTAATACATATAAGATATTTTAATGTTAGTGAAGTTATTATATTTAATATTTTATCTGTATTTTTATTAATATACCAATGTATATTTTAGCTAAGTACTTACCTACTGTTTTTATTTATACATACTTACTTTACCTTACACACAAAGTAAGAAAAGTACTCTAACTACGTAGTTCGAAATGTAGTTTGACAAAAAGTAGTTATTTGAAAGTAGTTTTAATAACACTGACCATATGAAGTGTCAGCACCTACATTCTGTAACCTGTAACTGAAAATCTCTAAAGATTCTGAACCTCTTTCATTCTTTTTGGGAAATTTTACATTAGTTAAAAATAAAAACGTCGACGCACTTTTCAAAAAAAGTTTATTGTAGCTTCAAGTCGTTAAATACATCATTAACATATATAAGCATTTTTACCAATAACACCAAATAATTGTGCTGCATTACATCGAATATTGGAATTTTTGATGTTTTCTGTAACTATCTCGTTTAGCGCGTGCGTGGTCCCAGTCGTAGGCCGAAGGATCGTCTCCCATTTCCAGCTGTTCCAAAATTTCGGGCGAAGTCAATAGTTCAGGTTCGTATTCGAAACGATCAGCGATATCCGACCAAATCGCCCCTGCAACTGAAAAATGTAACGAAAACGAAAAACCCACAAACTACATACCCTGGTCTCTTTTTTCAACACCCTGACCGTATTCGAAGTTCTACAAGACAAATTATTTTATCATGTTGAAAATGTCCAAAAAATTATAGTTACCTCATTCCGACGTCCAATTCGCGGTACGGATTTAGACGCCTTCATGAAAAATTTTCCCATTTCGTCAATGTTTGTGTTTTTGTTGGAGTTACTTCTGCCGATTCGGGGCACGTTTTTCGCAGCTTTTAGAAAGTAGTTGCCTTCGCCTGAAGTCACATGAAGCAGAATGTGAATGAATACTACTGTGGTAAAAATTTCGTAAAAATGCATCTTCACACTGGAACTACCCAACTGACTAAAATCGAGCTTTGTCGTTCTTTTATACTAATTGCGCTGACTGATTAGTATTCACCAAAGCTGTGCCCCTATCACATTTTTCTGTTGTTTATTTTCCGACAAACACCTGGCTTGGTGTATTTTAATTCTGCTATTGCTCAAAGTGCATCCAAAATGACGCAAATATATTCTAACAGTTCTTGATTTTATTTTTATAAATAAAAGACGTTTTTATTTTTGAAATCAGTGTTATTAAATGTTTACAGTTAAAATACAGAAATACAGAACTTATAAATAAGTTTTTTACATCAGCTATTTTCGGGGCAAATGTCCGGGCGAGTGTTTCTGATGCTGTTTTGAGCACATTGACTAATCGCTTGTAAATTATAGTCCGGATAAACAGAAATTTCAAACTCAATCAAATCTTGGCAGGGTAACTTAAGACTGGCAATCCTATTGTCAAAATTCATTGTAATCAATTGATATTCAGTAGGCATAGTTTCTGTAGCTTTTGCGATTTTATCAATCAGGAAATCGTAACAACTATCATTCGTTGCAAATCCACAAATACCCTTACTTCTGGCGTAACAGCTCATTACACCATTTAGTAGATTGGACCCATAAGTATAAGTCTCATTCGCAATCGTAGAAATTACATCAGAAGTCAACTTTGTGCATTTTTGAGTACGAGCAGTTAAGTTGGTGCGGTAACTTTCAATCGTGTCAATGTAACCACTAGTACACTCGTCTATTACCCCTACTTCTTTAAGATTTTCTTGAATCAGTGAGATTTTTGCTTGTACATTGTTTATTTTTTTGTTAATAGCCTCTGTGGCGACTAATTGTTGCTCTGCAAGTTGTTTATCTATCAGGGGTGATATCACACTGCTCATATGAGCATCCAAATCGTTAAGTAATCCATTAACACGTGCGAGAAGCGCATAGAAAGCAGCATCAGCATCTTCTTGGCCGCTTTTAAGAGATTTTGGTTTACACAGAATGATCTGTCAGAGAGGTAAAAAATCAACATTTAGACTTGCAGAGAAATGAAATAAATTTCTTACCTGAATTGCAGCAAAGCAAATTATCGAAACAGTTAAAATTTTTGGCAACATGTTTGTTCTGATCGGTGTAAAAAATCTTACTGGATATTTTTACGTGAAGTGAGTTGTTTAAATATTGTTTACTATCTAAAGATGCAAGTAGATAATTCACAATGAGGTGATTTTTACAAGAATCATCCATCAAGGATTGCTTCAAGTGTTTTATTATTTATTATTTCACTGTTGAGTACGATTGATTAACATCTAGTGCGTTCAATTTTGAAGGGGCATCCTACTAAAAAAACCCATTAGTAATACATTTTATTCTATTTTAGAATCATAATCTTGTTTAGAAGCACACAAATGGGGGCATAAATTGGTCTTTATGGCACAGATTAGTCAAAAATTGCTAATCAAAGATTGATTATTTATTTACATTACTTCAGTTTGCATTTTGAAAATACAATTATTTAACAAATAAACAACGTGGTATCCATTATAACGTCAAAATAATAGTCAGCTATGTATTAAAGTTCGCATCGCAATTCACACAATCTTGCCAGAAATAGTCAATCTTTCGTTAGAAACTAAAATAGAATAAAACGTTGCATGTACTATGGGCATAATTGTCGATTGTGGCTCTCGGGAAATTAAAAACCCTCCTTCGTCGGGCTTTAAACATTGCCACATGCCATAATCTCTCTAATTATGTCCTTAGTACAATATGTGAGAGAATTTGCAGCCTGTTAAAATTCGACTTTTTTTTATTTTATTTTTATTTTTTTTAAGTCCAATATATTAAGAATGTTTCAATCATTCAAAACTTTGTCGTATTTTTTTAAAGGAATTCTATATAATAACACAACTACACATGTCTTTAATTTTCGTAAAAACATTGTACACAAAAAAATGTTTTATTATTCAAATTTTGAAATTGATCAGCTACAAAATTGTAGATTATTTTTAATAAGACGAAATATTTGGCAACTTGTATTTCCTTTTTTATTTTATTTTAACTAGTCTCGGGCATATTTTCTAAAATAATGGCACATGTGCTTCATTTTCTTGACCGTCCGAATTAAAATAACATCAAAACATACCTTACTCAGGTTGGAGAGAAAACGTTTTTTAAAGAAATTTGAATATTTAATGCAACCATAATTGAAAACCAATACTGTTTATATTTCGTTAAAAACTAAGACAAAATTACCACATTTTGAAATTTATCTTGATGTGAAGAAAAATTATTGTAAAAAGGAATTAAGAAAAGATTAGATGTTTCAACACATAAAAAGGTAGTATGCGAGAATGAGAATATGTGAAGATAATAAATAATAATTGATAACATTAGCATACGAAGAAGAGAATAATAATTAAAAAACATCGTTTACAGATGATTTGTCGTTCAAAATAATAAGTTAAATTCCATGTACCTACTTATTCTGAAAAGGATCTAAAATTTTTTTATCCTGTGAAGTTAAGATCATCTCCATAAGTATGTAAATATTCCATAAAATGATTTTGTATTTCTTTGTTTTATTTTGAAACACTTTTTTATTAAATGATCAAAAAAGCTACTTTATGCATTCCAAGTTTTCTTTTATTTATAATAATTTAAAAAGAAAAATACATTATGTTCTAAAGGTTAGTCTCATTTTGGTTAAGTTAACATGCTAATTTCTTGAAAATAGAGGACGACTTAAAAAAGTAACACCAGAAAAGTGAATTTAATCTTTAGAATACGCTGTTTATATAAAACTTATGGTAGGTACTTATTTCAACCCCCTTGTAAAATCAATCTGGATGCTGCTTTTACACTCCTGAGTGCTGTCTTTCAAATCAGTCAGTTCTTAAATTCAGTTTTTGTATGTTCGAAAAAATTTGATGCCACAGGTGCACGTGTTTGCATTATCATAGCGTCTAATTTTTTTAAGTTTGTTAAAGCACAACCTTAAAAGTACGAACTTGCAAATATTCATCATCATTACACTGAGAAACATGATATTTTTAAATATTGGCATTTCTCGAAAATAAAAGTGCACATATCATAAATAATTCTATTATTTTCTTGATTTTCGTCAAATAAATCTAAACAGAAGATAAATGTATTTACCTATGTTTATTCTAAGAAATACAAGTTCATTTTGCAAATTACAAACGGAACAGTTCATATATCTACTGAAACATATTTTTTGAACGTACAAAATTTTTTTGTGTTTTTAGAAAGCATTAAACCAATTTCAACAATCTAAATAATTAATCACTGATTGAAAACGAATTTAAGCATTATCATATCAGTGGAACACCTGTATACATAAAAGCTATTTTCGTCGTAAATACGCACAAAGACATTTTGTGGGGGTTTTTCCCAATACAAAAATTGATAAAACATGTAACTAAGTTAAGTAGCCACTTGAGCTTCATTGCTTAAATGTAATCTATTAACTTGACTCAAAACTGCTTCACATGATATTTTACACAATAAAAATAGATAAAAATATGCGTAAACAACTTTCAGATCAGATGAGAGATGTAAGTAACTTATAAATATCGATAATTTTCTGTAAATACATTATTCGAGTCGATTCTTTTGGCAATCATGAAGCTCCCGCTCCTCTTAGTCTTCATCACTTTATTCAGGCCACAGGTACTTATTTCTTTTTTCATAACGATTTTTATTGTATATATTTCTAAAGGTACTAGGAAGCACCATAGAAGATGCCGAACAAGTCTTGCAGGACCTCAAAGACCTCAATTTATCATACCAAGGAGAACTTCACCTCCATATGAACAACCAGTCAGACATTCTTAGAGGTCAATTGATGGAAATGCAGACTCAGACTCAACAAGAAATCCTCGTCCAAGTGAACAACATTTTATCCAAAATTTCAACCATGGCAGAAAATACCCAGACTAGTACTGGCGCTAACGTAGACAATTGTCTGAGTACTGCAAATGAAGATCTTACAGATTTTGCCAATGAAATGTCTGATAGATTAAACGACTGCTATGGAAGTATGCTTGACACTGGAAATTATATGTTGTACACAAGTTGGAGTAAGGTTTGGGATGAATATGATCTTAGTTATCGATGCGGTATGATGGCTTTTGAACAATGCAAGAACTACGGAAATGAAGAGTGTGCGGATGTGCTGATATCTGATATGGAATTTTTGAACGAATATGTGGAGCAAGCGTTTACTGCCTTGAAAACTGATATGGTGAACCAGATAACTGGTATGAATTATCCTTGTAGGCAGATGATTTTAGAAGAGATGGCACTTTATCCTTCTCTTATTTTGAATTACGTTGGCTTGTGTTTGGAAAATATTAATGCTCCTAATTTTATACCCCAGTGTTAAGAAATCTCCGCTTCTAAATAAAGTTTTAATTGATTTTTAACTTTTTGATTTACTGAGTAGTCCCCTGCAGTAGATATAATACAACTCAATAACAAAAAGACATTTTCCGGGTTCGGACAGCGTCAAATTTGAAAAGGGTTATAACGTTTTGCTCAATTTCGTAAGGAAATGAAGGACTAGAACAATGAAGTAGTTCAAACAATTCTGTGTTTTCTGATGAGATTTTTGACCTCTCTTGTGGTTTTGCTGATAGGCTTGTTGTATGCCACACTGACAACACAAATATCACTGCTTCTATTCTGGCTTTGTCCTTGTATACATATAGGTATACTTGTCCAAAAGGTATAAGGTTATATGACCATCATAAAAGTAGTTGACCGCAAATAAATACCCCCTTTATGTGGTTCGCACTAAGCTTACCGGTTGGCAATAAATCCTCTTCTAAACATTTCTTGCTCACATTTAACAGGGCCGGCTTTCAAAGCGAGTGGTTATTTCGGAACCCTCAGCGGCTGGAGGTAGTAAAGAAATAGTGGAGTGGTGGATTTTCATATTTAGTGAAAGCCGCCCCTGAACGAAACCACAACAGGCGGTCGAGCTGCAGTGGACACATTATTTACGACCCTAAAACCTTTTCTATTGTAAACAACTTAACTTCGACACAATAGGATGATTTTATGATGGCCATATAACCTTATAGCTCTTGGTCCACTATATACTTAGTTAGGTTAAACGCTAGGCGAGAAATTCGTCACACCTTGAAAAAGTTGGTACATATTGCCATGTTAAATTTTATACCCCATGCTATCTTATCTTTGAGTAAAAATTCAGAGTTTAAATTTTTACTCAATGTAATTTGAGTCATATTTTGTCGATTTTATTAAAGGTTATGCTCGTGTCACCACGTTTGCTCTTATGGGGATTACAATGCATATTTGGAAAATAAAATCTCCATTATTAGTAGACTTATTGTTATGAAATTTTAAATAGGTATACCTAACAACTTTCTCTATATAGCTTAAAGTCGTTTTTTTTTTTAAATAGTTGATCATCATCTTTAAACAAAGCCCATGTTTGTGCGGAAGAAGCGGCTTTTACCGGATCTTATTTCCGATGAAAAAGGTCGACAATGTTCGTTGGAGGATTTATAGAGTTCTATACGCTGAAAACACTGGTGATAACTGCGTGTCAAAATTTCCATAAACAATTGAGATATTGAATTTTAAAAATACGTCCTGACAAATGTTATCAACATTTTAAGATTTACAATGTGATTTACGGTTTGAGTACAAAAATCATAAACTTAATCTGTCGGAAACTCATGATGACAAGCTCTAGTCGTTTATAACGTTATACTACGGTTTGGATAAAAATTAAATTTAGAAAATCATTCATGGCGGCAGTGGCGGCGATAGCGGTGGCAGATTATACATAAACATAATTATTTTGGGATTATAAGGTTTATAATTAAGTAACTATCAATTAAAAAATCTGGTAACAGTAGGTATAATCATAAAAAATAGGAACATGTCGAATTCCATTAATTTGATTCTTTTAGAAGAAATATTGAAACAAAATTGCGGTAAAAAAACGAATTGAACAATAAACACATACAATAGTAAACAGAATCAAGGTACATTCGTAGACCACAAGTACAAGAGTATATTATTTCATTAAATTTTGGTAATGCTAATTACGCAATATAATGAGCGGAGGTCGTCACAATGTTGGTGGGGATGATTAGCCAAATTTTGGTAAGAATTTGACCATCTGTATGATATTCCTAGTATACATAGGTACAAAATTTGATAACAATCGGTCCAGTAGTTTCGGAGATTATTTTATTAGAAATTACCATAAATAGGTTTTCTACGATTACTTATTTTTGACAAGTTATCCAAAGTGGAGTAGGTAAATTTTTATGGTTTTATTTTTTGTTTCTATAATTATACCTATAGAATTTTTATGTAAGTATTTACAGTTTTATTGCAATTATTTGTATGTACGAGTATGAAGGCAATAGGAAGTTCTACCTCTTTGCAAAAAAAATATAAATTATTGCAGTTTTATTTGTTGGTTACGATCACTACTTCGACCACATCGTTTTAACGAAAAAGAAACAGCTTTTTTGTTTTGCTTTATACTCAAATAAATTTCCTTTTATCATTGATGATAGTAATAGTATTTATATCAGCAAACAAAAATAGTTCGAAAATACATTTGAAGAAAATTTGTAAAGTTTACAAGATTTCAAAAAATTACACCATTTCGCTAGTAAGGATTTTAAATGATTTTTTTGGAATGAATAAAACTTTGTTCAGTTCTGCTCTCCTAATTTTCTCTTTCGTAAGAAAATTACTTTTGTTTCTTGAGTCAAAAATATCCAATAAATATGTTTAACAGCAAAATTTTGGAAAATACAAATGTGCGTATTGTGTATATTCCAGCAAACCCATAACACCGACTGCCACTCTTCAGCAGCCACAACCAGGCGTTGCCATATTAAAAGTATGGTATCATTCTGGACGAACCAATGGTAAACCTGCTATTAATAATTGTAACCATGACAACTACCAGTAGTGGGGAAGGAACAGGCGTGTTTACTACGAGCGTGCGCGTTAAGAGCGACGCAACAGTTGGTTTTCCAACCTGCCAGACAGTGACTGTTTTTCTCGGGTGACGAACCTTGCTGCTAATCGGACTTCTGTCTGATAGATGGCGCAACGTGTTTTAACATACGAGAAAGTAATTCAATGATTATTGTACGTGCCTGTATTTTGAAACGGATTCCACAGTTGTATTTTTTTTTCTCGATCAATTTAACTATAACTTCGCTGACTATTTTAGTTTAAGATTCCTTATTTACTATTGAAAATCTGTTGCAACCCTAAATTTTAATATTTGCAAGTGTCTTCAAAAATAGTTGAATTCGAAGTTCACAAATCTTGAAAGGAGTTTACGTTTGCGGAAAAATTGAAAAGCACATTTTTTTTAAAAAGACTGTAAAAAATGATCATTCATATTGGTTGGCATGTAACACCATTAATAATATTCTTTTGACGAACGAAGAGAGCTGTATTTTTGTAATGACAAGTTAATTTTAAAGAGAACACAACATGAAGAGCACGATGGAAGTTCGTGACACGTTTAGGTAAGTAACATTATCTCTAATTAATGTCAAATATTCCTAACGGTAATATAACAAAAGTCGAAACAAGGTAATCTTGCAATATTTTCGGAAAGAAAACAACTTTCCAAGTTGATAATTTTTTGAAAAGTTTGAAAAAAATGTAGTGTAAGAAATCTGTGCATCAGTATTTTAATAAACGAATCATAAAATAGAACAAAAAAACTGAAAAGTGCATTTTAACAAATTTAAAAAATAACATTTTATTTACACTGTCACTGTTGTAACGACGTGTATTCCGTCACTCAATAACAAAACCAATAAACATGTAATAGAACAACAATTGTCTTAAATAACTGCTTTGAGCTGAGCATAAATTGTATCGTTTTCGCATGATCACCTAAACGCTAAAATAGATAGGTATTTTATTCTTGACATTTTAACGTCAATTTACACATATTTTCAGTCTCTGATGTACAAATTCGTATAATTAGTCGAACTCCAAATCGTAAAACGAGCCGTTGTAAAACCTCGTCGGTGAACCGAACCAGAGACAAAGAGAATCGAACCAAGTGGGAGGAAAATCGGCTGATGTAAATTAGAGACGTTGAAATGTCCGTTTCAGGTAAGTGTAACAAGGACGTCGCTGCCCCTCTGAACAATGACACAAATCCAAAAAGAGGAACCATACATGTGAAAACTAAAAGCGGAGTTAATTACCACAATTATTAGAAAAAATGAACAGCCATAAAGTTATTAATTTTTTGGATTCTAAATCTTCACAAAAATTAAGTTATTTTTTTTTAATAATGAAACAAGAAACAATTTTAATAAATTTTTTCCCTATAGTTACTTGCAAAATCCATTTAAACTGGACGAAAGTAGAGTCCGCCAAATAATGAACATTGATTTTCTGTTCCTAAAAGGGCTTTGAGTTGCTTATTCTAAACCTAAAATGTGTTCATGTACGTCTGATTCATAGAAACTTTGTTCCTTTCAGGAACGCAATCGGCAAAACTCAGTGTTCACTATTTGCCGGACTCTACATTATACGAATATCCGTCTCTCAACTAGTTTGATACTACAATCGAAAAAGACGTTGACATTGGAGTGGCGGCCTAGAAAATATCGTGACATCATGTTTAGCAACAATTTAGATCTAAATGTCATCAACAATTTCCACTTTGTAAAATTTAATAAATCATTCGCATGCTAAGTTCAATACAAACTTGAAAAGGTCTTATTTATCTGATATATCCAACAACTCCATTTTTTTTTTATTTGTTCCAATTACTTGTGCTAGATAATAACTTCATTTACCGCACTGGTACGATAATGTTTCATTACCAAACACATATACATTTTTTGACTCAAATATTTACTAAAACAATATATTCTAATATAATAATGAAAATAACTATGTGTTATGGATGTATGTGTAAATAAAAATGAGACAAACCTTTTTCATTTATCCAATAAAATAATTTATTGCATCATTATTTATTTTTTTGAAATATCCCGTATAAATAATTCTGAAATGTAAAACTGGATCAAGATATAGAAGCAAAATTTTGATGTGACGTCATCAATTTTTTGGAAGGAATGCACAGATAATTTTGCCATCGGAACGATGTTCTTACAATATAATAATTTCAAAACAATCTACTCACTATTTTCGGAAATTATCAAAGAAGCTTGTCAATAGGCGACAATGGACAGACAGACGGAAGCGGGAGATCCACGTTTTCATATCCACTACGCTTGGCAAACAAAAAGCACAGTTAACAAAACTGATTTACCCATTCAAACATTTTCATAAAAAATATTGTTTCTTTTCAACCGACTGAATTTATTCCCTGAATACTTTCAACACTGTATCCGCTGAATATAGAGCTGGGTTTTGAACCAATATC